AGGTGTTGGTTTGAAGGTGTTGGTTTGAAGGTGAAGGGGTTGATTTGAAGGGGTTGGTTGGAAGGTGTTGGTTTGAATGGGTTGGTTTGAAGGTGTTGGTTTGAAGGTGTTGGTTTGAAGGTGTTGGTTTGAAGGTGTTGATTTGAAGGGGTTGGTTTGAAGGGGTTGGTTTGAAGGTGTTGGTTTGAAGGTGTTGGTTTGAAGGTGTTGGTTTGAAGGTGTTGGTTTGAAGGTGTTGGTTTGAAGGTGAAGGGGTTGATTTGAAGGGGTTGGTTGGAAGGTGTTGGTTTGAAGGGGTTGGTTTGAAGGTGTTGGTTTGAAGGTGTTGGTTTGAAGGTGTTGGTTTGAAGGGGTTGGTTTGAAGGTGTTGGTTTGAAGGTGTTGGTTTGAAGGTGAAGGGGTTGATTTGAAGGGGTTGGTTTGAAGGGGTTGATTTGAAGGGGTTGGTTTAAAGAGGGGCTTTGATCGCCATGGGCTCGGTTTCTTTTCGGGGGAAGGGAGACTACACCTGTCCACTTATGAAACATGGAGCCTACCAGTGGGCCCCTCTTGACAGGCAAATGGCCCCGAGTCAGGGCGAAGAATTCAAACATTTCCGAAACAAACAATTTTTCAAACCGCGAGCGCACGTTCAAGACGAGAGTATGCATGCGCCGATTCTGTCCCAGACTTCTTGTTAGTACAAAAGCAAGCCAGCAGCCAGGCAAACGAGAAAGAGCAAGTGGGAGTGCTTTTGCTTATCCGTAAGCCTTGCCCGGAAAAAGAGAAAGAGCAAGTGGGAGTGCTTTTGCTTATCCGTAAGTAAGCCTTCCCCGCAAGCTCTCAAAATCTGTTCGGCGCAGCACATTTCCGGTGGATGGCGCAGACATTTTGCTGATTCGTCCGGATGTGGTTTTGCTCTTACCTGGCCTTTTGACCTGTCCGCGAAAGGCAACCCCATTTCCTGCAGGTGAGCTGAACTTTACTGCTTCAGCATGCTCCAAACTTGAGATGTGATCACTAATTTCTGGAGCATTTCGCATTTTGCATGGCGGGGGTGATGCTGAGGATGCAGTGTTGCGGATGCTGCATCAGCAGGCCCAGCAAAGATTTGTGCAACAGCGAGGCTAGTCCAAGTGCAGCCTGAGTGATCGCTCAGCAACACAGGAGCTCGAATGAGGCTCCCCATAGCCTGCCAGCTCAGCCTGAAAAGAGCGGTCGCCGTTGGCGGGTGCGGTAGGCAACACTGTGCAACTGAAAAGCTGCAAGCACACCACAAGTTCCAGCTTAGGACATACTACATGTGCGCTCAACTTGAGGATAAAAGTTCCATCCGGGAGCTTCATCGTACTCCGCGAAGCTTTGTCGGTGAGCTTCGTCATCGGTGACGTGCTCTCGGCTTGTCCAGTCGTCCAGCTGCGGCGCTCCTCCTTGGCGCAGAGGGGTTTCTCCCAGTAACTTGGTTGTTGTTGGGAAACATTTGAATCATTTTTGCTTATTGTGGTTTAGTGGTTGAAATCCAACACTTGGCTGCTAAAATTTAATTTTTGGCTCCCCTTTCAACGTCAACCAAGTTAAATTGTGTTTCCCAGCTTTTTGCCCAACTTGGTTCCTTTGCAATTGACTAGCCCAAGCCAAGTTGTCACCAATCTTTTTCCGATCTTCCTTTGCAAAAGCGGCCAACATGGAAAACGCACTGTGCATTCGTTTTGGAATTCGTCTTCGAAGTCAGATGACCTCAAAAAGGGGGGCCCGGATGGGCCATTGTTCGGGACTGCTCCCTGCAGTTCCCTGTTTGGTGGTGTTAAATGTCAGCTTTTGGGCCTGCTGTTCAAGGGGGAACCATAGGGAACTCTGTTTTCGGAAAAAGCGGAAGGGGGGCGAGTCCCGGACTGGGATCTTTCTCTCAAGGCACTGGGATACGACTCCAAACATTTGCGTGCTGGACTGGTTTTAGTGGACCCCGTCTAGATGTTTGTCCAAAAAGGACACAGCCATCCCAGCACGATAGTATGTTACTATTTCTATGGGGATTCCTTGCGTCCAGTTGTGAGAACAATAATATCTATTCTATTGAGGGCCTCATAGAAGCTCGTATATTTGTTATCTTACACAAGCAGAAGCACAACTGGTTCTGTATAAGTCATGGAGCAACTTTTTGAGTTGAGCATGATGAATCCAAGCTTCCCTGGAGATGTCCAGTTTGCATGTCGTAACTTGTGCCATACATTTGCCGAAAGGATCCCAAACCGATTGGGATCGCAGGTCTTTGCCAAAGTACTCTGCCGAGGAGGCGCTGGAAAGCTCCGGTCGGGCGGTCGGGGAAGTGGCTTCTGGGGCTTGGTTGGCCTGGTTGGCCTGGGGGGTAGGGCGTTGGTTTGGGGGCGTCGTTTTCGTTTTGGTCTGGGGCGCTTTTATGTCAACTTGGTTTTTGGGGGGTTTTCGCTTTGGCCTCGCTTTCATGTCAACTTTTGGGAAGCCAGCGGAGCGGTGCTCGGGGGTTGTTCCCCGTTGATCTGGAAGTTGGATGTTGGAGCGCTTCCCGGCCTACGCCATGATCTCCGAGTCGTACCAACGAGGCGAGCCCATCTGTGGCAACATGCGACCAGCCATGCCACCAGCCCAGACGAACTGGCTGGTAGCGCCCAACCACAATCCCACGCCCTACGGTCTGGGTCCAACTGGCCTGCCTCATCGGCAACGTTGCAACGCACTTGGGCGGGTGATTTACGCTCGCTGATCGCACCCAGACCATGTTTGTGGGTGCCTCTGATGAGTGTGGTCCTCCATCAAGTGAAGTCTGTCTGTGGAGCACACAAGCAGTTTGACCGTGGGATGGCTATCGGACCAAAAACGCATGAAACGGGCACCCCTCCCCCCCAATCACTGCGGGCGAAAAAACAGCGCCCCAAACGGCTGAATGCAGGGGGCACCGGGCTCTTCTTGCTGAATGAACATGGCGAGCCAGCATGACGGCGAAGCAGATTCCAATGAGGCCTTGATAATATAGTATAATATAATATAATACAATATACTATGATATATAATATCTGTTTGACAACAACCCCCATGAAGTTGGTTGGAGAGACAAAGTCTCCTGGGTTCGAAATCTAAGTTGCGACCAGACATGGCCACAGCACACCGTTTTCTCCTGGTGGTACTCGTGACCGGCTGATTGCGGCCCCTGTTGAAGGGCGCTGAGCGCTCAGACCGGCCCCTGCCGGGAGGGAAAGAAAATGGTCGGTGCCGAACCTTCGGTTTGAAAATACTTGCGAGCTTCATGCTCATTGTTGGGCGGCCCTCGTCTTCTAAACGGCTTCTAAACGGCATCCCGAAGTAGGGAGGGTAGCGAGCCACCCTTGCATGAGCCCTCGCCTCGAAAGTTGGCCGCAGAGGGGACCGGGGAGTCCGCCAACTTCGCTTTTCTTCTCTTGATTCTTTCTGGTTCTCAGGAGGGAATGAGAGCATGACTCTTGCAAACCCTCCCTTGTGGTTTCTCCTTAAGTGAGCGCTACCTTCATTCCCGAAAGCTCGTTTTGATTCTCCACTGAGAACCCGCAAGTATTCTTGCGACCTTTCCAAAATCTTCCGCTTTTCGTAGCTCCCCTTGTCTCCATGCTTCCGCTTTTTGTTGCTGCTCTTTACTTCGCGGGTTTCTTTGCGCTTTCGTTCCCCGACGCTCACGTTCAACATGATCGAAGCCCAGCACAGAACGCCAATTTGTCTATTCACACATCAGCTTGCGACCGGTGTGTCAAGATTTCCTTGCTTGTTGTTCAAGGGTCTAGCCTCTTTACAGCCTGCCGGCATGGTGCATGCGCATGGTGTGGGAAGGGTCGATGAGTGATTGACAATATTCGATACCGATGAAACTGTTTTTTCCAGAAACCGTTGAAATCGGGTTCAACTTGCAAACTCAAACTTGATGATTTGGTTGCCACTTTTCCTTGCGTGTGCGCTTCCTGTTTGGCGGATTCTTCCAGGATGGGCCACATGGGAAAGACATGGAGGAGCCATCTCCAAACAGGTTGCAGCAACCAAGCAACGCCGCTTGTGTGCCAGGGCGGCGAGGAAACGGATGGCGGAAGGCCCGTGGCGACTCTTGGAATGAGGGAATGGTTGGGAGTGACTCCTATGAACCATGGTTTTTTCTTCCTTCCTTTCAGGGGATCTCTGGGGTCATTGCCAAAAACCCGGCTGATTGTCTACTGAGAACCAAGTCTTTGGGTGTTCCGAAAGGACTGGGAGCATTACCGATTTTGGGGTGAAATGAGCTCTTCTAACGAGTGCGAAGGAGGCTTCGTCTGTTTCTATTTCAGGCGCAGGAGCCGAAAGACATGGTACTTGGTTTCCGATCCCATGAAGTTGGAATCTAGAGGTCCGCGGACATTTCGCATCTTGCCACATTGCTTGGACCTTGGTGGATACTTGGGCTTGCACAAGAGTCTTCAATGAAAACGGTGGCACGACAGTTATCCACATTCAGAGCATCGGACATAGCATTGTGCATGTTATCTAGGTAACTGGGCGCTTCTTTTTGATAGAACCCCTGGCTGGTTTAGGGAAACCAAAAGAACACTTCACCCAGTTTGGCTTTTGGAAACAAGTGGCGTTCCGGGTGCCTGGTGCTTGGTAGTTGAAATCAGGATTTGGTGAGACATCTGAACATCTGAGAGCTTCTTCTGGAAAGGCCCAAAACGCCCACCCCGAAGTCATGAGCTGTGCATTTTGGAGCCTTCACACTTGTCCATTTGTGTTCGCTTCTTGATCACCTTGTTGGGATCTGAGGGGTTTTACACTGGGTTCTCTTTCTGGACTTGAGGCGGGCATGGCTTGGAGTTCCTGTAGGGCCCCTTGCGACTCGACGCGCACTCAATGGCTCGCGAACTAACTGTTCTCCGTTGATTCCCAATTGTTCAGTGGATTCCACTTTCAATATGCGTTTTGTTTGGTGGGTTTCCCACTAAAGGCGGAACCCCCATTTTCTACCAGGGTCATTGGGGGGATTGGTGGCTTTTTCCAGCCTTCTGACTTGTTTGTTTCCTCGCTTAGGTCCAGTTTTAGTCATTTGCTCCGAAGGATGTTGTCATTGTGATAGGAACCATGTTGCTTCAAAGATACTTGCCAGCCATCAATGCCCGCCAAGCCGATGCGTCAATGAACGGAACGGAACGACCCTTGCTTCACAGCTTGCTAAGGCCGTCACGTGCACTTCCGTTGCAGAACGCACCCAGTATTTGGCAGACATGCTTGGAGTAGGAATTTTGAAAGCAACTTCATATTTCCAGCAACGCCAACAAAAGAAAGAGGGCAAGCTATGCTCGCCATTTTCTTTGCCTTGTTTTGCTTGCCTGCTTGTCTCTTTTCAGACAGACCTGGCCTCCCATGACCCCGTGGCTGCAGGCACAGCACCTCAAAAATTGGAGGAGCACGCCCCATGGGGAGGGGGTGAACGCCAACTTGTTCTTGTGTTTTTCCTCTGTGAACTCGTTGTTTTTTTTTTGTGTGTGTGTGTTTTTTCTCTTAAAAAATAACAAACATCAACGGTGAACTCGTGCAGAGTTTTTTCGCAGCGGGTGCGTCTGGAATGTGTGGCTTTTCCCTTCATGAAGCATTCACACAAGACAGCTACGAAGGAAGAACAACACGCACGTGGTGTAAAAAAGCTGCCTAAGCTACAGCGAGATCACCAGCAGGCAACACGATTTCACCAGCAGGTAACAAGAGCTCACCAGCAGGTAAAGCGAGCTCACCCGTGATGACGGATCCTTTCACAAGGTTTGCTTTTCCTCCAAGGCGTTTGTACCTTCCCATCCATCAACATGGAACCTGGTTTAAGCAACTCAAGTACTTGTAATGAACCTCGGAGAACTCCTTTCTGCTGGGCTGGCAGGTCCGTGGCAACACCCCGCAGCCGCATGTCCGATGTGTTGGGGCCCCGAGCGCCGAGCGAGAGTCTGCGCCCAGTTGAAACGAAATCCCCACGGCATGTCCAACATGTTGAGCAGTTGGAGCAATCGTTTTGACACCTTCCCATGGTACAAACCAAAGTGGTTGGACCCTTCTCCTTTGGCGGGACTTTCTTTTTTTTCCCTTTGGAAGCGTCCGAAAGGAAGGCATCCTTTTTCACGCAACATCTATGGGTTTAATTGTGCTTTTGCTTCTGTGGAGAAATGGACAAACGCCTGGGAGGTCCTCGGATCAGCAGTGGACCTTTGAGCCGCAAGCGCCGCAAGCGTTACAAGCCGTAGCTAGAGCGGTAGAAGGTCAAGCCACTCACGAACCTGGAGGCTGTCCACACTTGGCGCATGGTCCCAAGACCAACCCCGCCAGACCGCCGGCGCGAACTCCTGACAGGATTGGAGTTCTAATTAGAGGAGCCCTTCATGAATCCAGTCCCACCAGCGGAACCTCCCCGATTGATCCAAAGTTCTTCATCTGACACAGCAATTAATTTGGAGACTCTGCTTCACGTGCAGGAGCTCGGTTTATTCTTCACGCCAGCTTTTGAAATGAGAACGCTGCCATCAGACACAGACAAAAAGTGCACTTGTACAACTTCGTTGGGTCAGGCCCTAGGAACCATTGGACATAGCTTCGGCTGGCGACAATCTGAGTAGCCCTTGGCACGGCCACTTCGTTGCTGTGATAGCCGTAATTATCTATTTTTTCCAATCTGGTTGGTTTTGCCAAGATTTTGGTGGGGGACATCTCTTTGTTCAACCTGGGTGGTTCCCATAGGACATCTCTGGCTTCAATTTGGGTGGTTTTCAAAGCTGGGGCCCTTTAAGATGTTTGGCTTCCTGTTGGTTTGTGTGCGAACATGAACCAACCGTGGGTCGCAAGTTCAATTTTCCTCCAGCTTGTGTCCCGGGTCCTGTGATAAGCTGCTCGCACAATTTACAATAAGCTCAGCTGGGCTCACCCATACCATTTCCAGTGTGAGAAGGATAGTATGTCCAGGTTTTTCCAGGGTGAATCAATTTATTGCACCTGGGAGTTCTAGAATCTTCTTTTGGACAAAAAAAGCAAGGCCAGCCCCAGCGTAAAGAAGGTCCCTGAGTTGAATGTATCGCAAGCCATGCGTCAGATTGGAGCCGTGCTCGATGTGCTTCAAAAACTGTCCGGAGCCACCTTAGGCACTTCCTGTTTTGCCTGGGTGGCCTTTCAACAACTCTCAAGTCATCTCTTCAATCTGTGTACGTATATTATTTCCATCAATCCTGGAAGCTGCCAGGCGGCTTTTGGAAACTACGATCCGCTCGAAACGCCCCGGGCCAGCTCCCAACAATCAAGGGTCGGAAGGGTAAACTAGGTCCCCCAGCTTGGTGCCCTTCTACCATTTCTTTTTTTGGGGGGAGGGTTCCGCTACTAAAATAGACTACAGAGAAAAGGGTACCTTTGTACTAACCTTTTTGCTGGAGGACCTAGGTAAAGGAACAGGAGACTCCAAATGGCTGCTTGTTGGGCAGCAAATCTGTTGACCAAACTTGTCCGAGCTTACGACTGAATGGCCCCGGCGGATCAACTGCGTTTCATGTTGGAATCTCCCGAAGGGTCGAACCCCAAAACGCTGACGTCAAGCCCCGAATGCGACGGAACGTGGTGACGTTCTCAACTGTTGTTTGCTTGCATCGTTCGTCTTGTTCGTCCGCTTTGTTTGTTGGCTTTCGTTTGTTCGTTTGTTTGTTTGCTTGTCTGTCTGTCTGTTTGTTTGTTTGTTTGTTTGTTTGTCTGTCTGTCTGTCTGTCTGTCTGTCTGTCTGTCTGTGTGTTTGTCTGATTGTCTGATTGTCTGTTTGTCTGTTTGTCTGTTTGTTTGCTTGTTCGCTTGCTTGTTTGCTTGTTTGCCTTGACGCAAAGTACTCACGCTGCTGTTTCATAACCTCAACCTTCGGGCTCAGGCCAGGATGATTCTGCTTCGACGTTTCTTGCTTTTCAGGTCTCCGGTTGGAGGTCGTGGATGAACCGGCGACTGAGGTCCCACAAGTCGGCTGCAGAAGCGGAGAATGAGGAGGCGTGGGGGCTGGGGGTTTTGGGGCATTTGCATGCCTTTCACCGCTGGTGTTCCTAGTGGGCACCTCGAAGAGTGGGAAAAAGGGGATGGGGGCTGATGTAGGGTGGACAAGTGAGGGCTGGTGAAGGCTGGGGATGAATGAGGTGGGGCTGTTGGAAGAGGCTGCGAAGGCAAGGCTGCATTCCGCGAAAGAACTCTCGGGGCTGTAGAGTACGGGCTGGGGGGGTTGCGAGGCCCGCAGCTGTAGAGGTGGTAAACTGGTTCCCAAAGAATGCGCAACCTGTGCATAACTTGAGATCAGGCAGTCTGCCTTAACCTGGAACTCATGAGGCTTCCCTAGGCAAATATTCGAGTGATGGACCGCTTTGGGGGTTGCTTCAGAGGGAAACCCACCATTTCAGGCCCTCCATTTTAGCCCAGACCACCCGGCCACTTAGAACTCTAGGGGTTTAGGGATTAAGACATGCCTTGAACACGAGCCGTCAGAGCCGCTAGGGGTTGGCGGGGATGTAGAGACCTTGCTTTGACCATGATGTGCACGGCATCCCCGCCATCCTGTGAAAGGCCCATGCCCATCGGCCCCAAAGCGAGCCACAAAGAACTGGGGCAGGTGCAGCCAAAGTAGCGAAGTCATCTCCAGGATCGTCATCTCCAGTTCGGCGGTCCCCGCTTGTTCTGTGAATCTCCAGCGACGTCGCCCAGCAAGTGTCATAGCTCTGGAAGCTACAATGGTCTGCGATGAACACTTGGAACGGCTGCAATGACAGCTGAAGCGATTGCTGTCATTGCCGACATGCCTTGAACATGAGCCGACAGCGCCACCAGGGGTTGGGGTTGGATGTAGAGACTCTGCTTTGAGCAGGTTGCATCGAGCCATGCACTTGCCATCCTAGCCCCTCTCACCCATGCAAATCTGCCCGAACCGATGTGTCAAGCTTTGGGCAAGTGCCTGCAGAGTGTTGGAGCCAGAGTGCAGAACACGCCCCGGGCAGCATTCTAGTGTTTGGTTCTGATTGTTTTTCAAGAAGGTTGGACGGACTGCTATCCACCAGGCCTGTGTAGTCTGGCACGTGGAATGGTTTTGGTCCTAGCCGTGGGCATGCAAAGCCGTCGCTGCTGGCACCCTTGTTGCGAGTTGGCCACATCAGCTTGGCCGCGAAGAGCTTGCTTTGACCGCAGCAGCCATGTCAGCCCGCAGCCATGTCAGCCCAAAGCTATTCCGACCTTGCTGAAACCGGCTGCGAATCCGGCAAGTTCGGCTTGTAGACTGGATTGCATGTCCCAAGACGAGTGCTCCAGTGGTCTCTGGTCTCTGGATAAGTCCTAGCAGACTGCTATGCCCAAGTTCATGATCACTTCAATTGGTTCCGGTCGTAGCTCAGGGCATTGCTGCGTCGGTGCTGCAGGGACGCTTCGGCTGCAACATCGGCCGCTGCATCGTCTTTGGCACGACCTTGCTTCGACCAGACAGCGAGCTAGTTTCCCACGTAGTGAGATCTTGATTCTGTCCGAGTCGACCGCACACAGGCCCTTTGAAAGTGACAAGCTAGCGGGATGGGAGTCCTTTGGTAATGCGGAACGGAGCTATTTTCCACAACCATGTCCGTGCATGATCTTGTGGTCTGTTCCTTTCGTGCTGGTAATTGGTTCTGACTCAGGTGTCAGCAAGCCGAATGTGTCAAGGGCCAATCGGCACGAACGCAACTGGGTGTCACAGCTGCGCTTCTTCAACCGGTGCTGCTGCGGGTGAAGAGTTGAAGGGAATACTTTTGAAATACTATTACTAGGTCCAGTAGCGCCCTTTTACCCTTTTGTGGGGGAGGGTTCCCCTACAAAAATAGACCACAGGAAAGAAGGGTACCCTTATTCTAACCTCTCTGGAGGACCTAGCTTAGATCACCTGGCTTACAAGAGTGAAACGAGATGGCAATGCGAAACCTATCTCCACTTTCCGGCTGCAAATCGGGTGTCTTTAGCTGAGGAAGAAGCCTTGAAAGCGGGTGTTGGGGAGGAGCTTTCGCATCAGGCGGACCTCATTTGTGTGTTGCTGGTGGTCCGGCTGCCCAGTGCATGAAAGCAGCGGGTGTGGGGTCTGTGTGCTACGGCGTTCTGACCAACCCTAGGGATTTCAGGCACATCGGGAGCTTTGATGGCCGATCTGTTTTGCGCTTTTCCCAAGAGCAACTGAAACGACCTCGCAAAGGGCTTTGGTTTGGGACTCGTTTGCTTGGCCTCACCCATGAAGGCTGCTTTCATATTCGGTGGGTGAATTATAATTGAGCCCAAATGATTATATATCAATAGGACCGTGCCAGTGAAGGACATTCCTTCAAAGTGGTGAACGGGAGATCAGGCCTGATTACTCTGGAGAAGCTAGTCAATCCGAAGTGGACATAGGACTCCCGATGGAAACCCCGAGTTGCACAATGATTCATAGGAGCAATGCTCAACTTAGGAAACTGACCTTCGGCGGATCCTCTTGCGTGGGGACTTCACTAGCCACAGAACTTGCACATCAGCTTCGGAAACAAAACCGTGAGGTTGCCGAGGGGGTGCAAGATCACTTTCCTGGGCAATTTGAATAGAGGGAGGGTAGGGGATCCAATGGCTGCGCCGAGCCGTTGAGATTTTTTCGCATCGGATAGCGCGCCAAGGGAAACCGCTCATTTTGGGGTCATCCTATTGCAGACAGACCCGATTCACTTTCGCTTGCCGTATTTCGATTGCCGTCTCTAAGGGAATGCACGGGATTAGAACTAGCATTTCTGGACCCCGTGATGAAGTCTGATTCAGGGTGTGAAATTCTCGTGTTTTTGCAGCCCCATCCTTTCAAAGGGCCCCTGCATTCTGTTGGATTCAGGACAGGCGGTTGGTCACATTTGCGCAGCAACCTTGCCCAGGATCAATAAAATGCGTGTTCTTTTTCTTCTTCTGCGTTTTAGGGGCAACCAAAGGGAAAGTCCCTAAATCGTGAGGCACACCAACTATGGCTGGGACGCTTTGCCCCTGTGAGAAAAGAGTTCTGCATTGGGTATCAAACCCGATCCGCCAGATTTTGCGGCGATGTGGCTATGAGAAAATGGGGGCGTAAATGATGTCCACCAACGGCTCGAACAACAAAAGTCGTTCTCGTCTAGAAATGTCTCAAACATACCAGACCGTCCGCCACTTCATTTTGCAAGGAGTCGAACAGGACCTCAAAGGAAGGAAAGGACAATACCAGAAATGAAAGCTAAAAGGCAGCGACCAACACCAGCAAACTGCGACAATGAACTGGGCACAACTGCATACAAAGAACAGGTGCAGCTAGAAATCAGCAAACAAAACGAATACCAGCCGTTTGGGTTGCCCGACGCGGACCGCCAAACGCATGTTTGCTTTCCTTCTTCAGAGGCACCTCATTGCTTTTCTTTTTGGACCTCTAAAGTCTCATTTGTATCAGAAGTCATCAGCAAGTCTTAAGTGGTAAGGGGATATTCAACGACCCCAGTTCTTTCAACAACAATCATACTGGCATTTGCAGCTCGCTTGGGCCTTGCTTCGTGTCAAAACACAAGGCCCGCCACAGCGAGCGGACGCCCAAGCAGAAGGTGAAAGCCAAGGCGCGCACATGCCGTGAGTGGGGGGGTGGTTTCTGGTCGCACGCTTTAGCTGAGTGGGGTCCCTCAAAGTGGCCATGCTGAGAGGTTCTCCAAGATAGAGGCTTGTTTCCTAGATCCCCAGTAGTGCCCTTCAACCCTTTTTTGGGGGAGGGTTCCCCTACTAAAATAGACTGCAGAAAAAAGGGTACCTTTCTTCTAAGCTCTCTACTGGAGAACCTAGTTTTTCTTGCAGGCCACCATTTAGGGAGTCATTTTGATGCGGCTTTGGACCTGGCGAGTCCAGGCAATGGACCCGGTCATTGCGGGGTTCCACGTGTTTCTCTGTGACTCTTCGTGGCGCCGCAAATTTGGGGTTTGGCGATTTCAGGGCCCAAGGCAGGGGCCTTGGGAGCCCCTGCTTTCAGGTTGCCGAGTTTTGTGAAACGCCACGGGCACACGACTTCCTCCCAGCTGGGGTGGTTTTTCGTCAGAGGCGCTGGAGGAGCGCCCGGAGGATGGCTTGGAAGAGGTCAAGCCATGGCGTCGGTTCAACAAATGACATGCTGGATTTGAAGAAACCGCGCGATCAGACTCGATTTGCAGGGCATTCCAAGACCACTTGCCCAGATGTTTGGCAGTCCATGTGGTGCTTGTCCCATGCACTGCATGGCCACCAGGTTGAGACCTGAGGTATTGGGGCACCCGGCCATGGAGCGGACACTTGAGTTGGAAAGAAGCACTTCCTTACTCCGTGGTTGGCGGGGGTTGGGGGCCAGGGGGGGGAGGATACAGTTGTTTTGACTCAGGGCAAATTACATTGCGACCTCACAAGGGGGGGACAAAGCGTTGTCAATGGTAGATGGTTCCGTCATAGGGCAGCTTTATTTTGTATGTTGGGGCGGAGGACTATTGTGATTCACCCAGATTTGGCGACTGATTCCACTGGCCGAAAGTTGTTTCAACTTGGAATGTGTTGGATTGTGCCATCTTTTACTTGATGGCAAGATGTTGCGGCCTTGTTGACGTTTCAACAACTCTTGCTTTGGCCGGAGGTGAACCTGCCTTCAGACTACGGCGCGGGAATGCAGGATGCTCAGAGTTGGGATGTACGGATGCGCTTTGTTGACAGGGTGTGCTTCGTTTGGAATAATCCCTTTCCTTGACTGTGGAAGGGGGCAGAACGAAAGGCTGGGACTGTGCTGTTTTCGTTTTGGGTTGCTTTGTTCCCTTCTGCAGTGCGCACGGCGCGTTGCCTGACAATGGACGGAGTAAGACCGTTGCCAAGAATAGGGCATGCATCGCAAGAAGGGTTGATGGCTAGTTCACTCACAGACACCAGAGCTACCTGCAAGATTAGACGTGGTTGCAGGGATTACGAGAATAGGTGCGTGCAATGTCCATCCGTTTGCACCAATTTGCGAGGTGTGTTGTTGCCAGCAAGTGTTGCGATGCGTGCTGTTGTCAGGACTTGCCATGTATTCCTACACGTACTGAATGCAGCAGGCAACCGCAAACTGACAGCTGATCTACATTTTGCCCGGCAGTATCCGAGGATAGGAATTACAATGTCGCTGCGGAGCAAAGCTGTTTGCCACAAGAACAGAGTCTGGGCAAGTCATAGCGGCCTCACACGTGCGGTTTGCGACGTTGCCCCCTGTCTTGGAGGGGTTGCCGTGGCAGCTCGCCCAGGCGCAATTGACATGTGGATGTTGTTTTTTGGGCTTCAAGTGTGCGGTGCAACCTACTGATAATATTGATGACTGCCCGTGCGCAAAAATGGTATGGTAGCAAGGAACATGTGGTACAAGCACATGCGCAAAAGTGTGTGCTTCATTGCCTTCAAACAAAATGCTCCTTCAGTGCTTCATTCTTGCAGAAGAATCTCTGCGTAAATGGCAATCAAAGGTTGGCATGTGGCTGACACCCTCTAACACGAAATGCTCGAAACCGGAACAAGGCAAGGTCAAGCTGGCGCATGTTGCCTTCTAACACAGGGTGTCTTACGCAATGATCCGTGTGCTTGCCGCGAAGGATTTCTCTTTTTGGGGCCCGGACTAGTCATGTTATGCCTTCTTCAAAAGCAGGGGGCCGCCGTGGTGTCGATGTGATTGTTCGGTGCTTCTTTTCCTCGAACCTGGTGCAAGGCGCCTGTTCACTTTGAAACATTCCCAGTCAGCGACAACTTAGGTTTTAGAACCACTTTCTATGATACCAAGGGAATCCCCTCTCAAGTGAGAAAGTAGTCATGAACTTGGAATCTCAGTTCGGTGTCACAGAATGGCATAATGTTCACAGTGTTTGCATGGTGAGCGTGTCACTTTTATAGGTTATTGTATTCGGGGCTGAAGTACTACCATTCACCCCAGAATCATCTAACTTCGGATTCATGCAGCGGACTGTACTAATCAGCGGAATCCCCTTGAAGTGGACAATCCTCACAAAAGTTTGAGACCAGATTTTCCATGCCTGCTTTGCTCAGATGTTGCTTCTCCTTTGACCAAAATCACGTTTTCACCTGACAACATGTCCAAGTCCATTTTCAGCAGCAGTCAAAACGCCTCCCCCCAATGGTTTTGGAGAACTTCGTCTCACTTCAGCTCCAGCTTGAGGTTGCTCGGCTGGCTACAGGGCGGAGTTGTGGCTGCGGAATCCGTGCTGGCACGGGGGCATTGGGATTCGGGTGCGGCTGGCCCCCAAACGGGGCGGTTTTCCCCCGGTTTCTCGCTGTGCAGGGTTGTGGGATCAAGGGGTTTATGCCCACTTCTGTGATGCAAGGGAATCTCCCCCTTTATATGGAGGGTTAGTCTTTGGAAAGCCCTTTTTGTTGTATCACAGAAGTGGTCATTTCCCACAGCCCTGTCGCTGTGTTTTTGGCGGTGTTCCTTTGGCTTGACTTCGACCAGTGGCCTCCGAAATGGACACGGACGCATTGGGCGGGATGGCAACGTGGTGCAATGTCTGGGTGGGACAAGGGGAAGCGCAGCTGGGGTTTCATCAGGTGTTGTGCGTTCAACGTTTCCCGACTTTCAATCGTGAAGTGGCTAGCTGGCAAATAATATTCATGTTGCGTGGCATTGCCAACACACATGGCAGATGCCGCGCCGAGGCATTGATTCAGAGACATCTTAGCCGTCAATGCAAGCCAGTTCAAGGGATGCCCCGAAACCGGAGACCCGAAGTAGTTCGCTTCCAGGTAAATTTCACAGGGGACATGTCCATGCCAAGTGTTCCTTGGGATTGACCAGGAAGAAAAACCAAGAGAGTTTGGTTCAAATGATCCTCACCCAAGGTTCTGAACCCACAAAAATGGGTGGTTTCCCTTTGGTTTCCGTATAGCACAAGCCCCAATAGAGGCATCTCAAACAAGAGACACCCCAAGCTTTTTTGATCCGTTCGACTTTCTCCGATGGTTCGGTTTGCAATCCAGACACGGTTGATTGGACAACTTTTCAGACGGCCGTTTGCTTTGAGATGCGCCTGCAGATACGACTCGCTTATGTTGGTTGAAGCTACCAACATCACCACTGCTCCGTCCCCTTTTGTTCTTTGCAAACCAAACTTCTGCGGCTGCAGCAATATGTAGTAAGGGTTGCTTCCATGATGCCTTTTCCAACCCTTCTAGATGTTTCAGAGTGCTTTTGTTTGAGCAATTTTCACCAGTTGCTATAAACATGGGCTAGTTCCCAAAATTATGCCACGTCAATTATTTGCACCCAAGAGTGCACTTCCATTGTTGAAGACCACCTTTTCGCCGTCTACCGAAGAAGGTCGAGTTGCAACAAGAACCACAAGCAGGCAATTCGCTTGGGCTTCAAAAAAAACACGTTCCTTCTGTCCACCACAGGGTCAAATTGCAACAAGAAACACAAGCAGACAATTCGCTTGGGCACAGGTCGCAGGTCTGCACTCGCAGTCTCACGTCTCGCCAGGTGATGCCCCGCACCATGGAGCTGCGCGCCCGAGACCAACTCATGCGCCTGGCGGACGCCGCGAGGCCATCGCACCGTCGGGCCATGGGATGTGATAGGTAGGGAAGGGCCGAGTCGGGGTGTTGGGAACCGAGTCAGGGGATTCCCTTCAAGGAAACCAGCTGGATGGAGGCCAATTTGGGTATGAAGGAATACTAGTCACCAAGTTGGACTCCCTTTGGCTATGATTTTTGGGGGGAACCCCCTCCCAAATGGGTGGTGGACAAAAACTTCCAGCTACATGATATCCACCAGAGGGCCCCTGAGTGAAATTCACACCCCTTCAAGGAAACCACAAGTTGGATGGTTGATCTCGGGGTCGGACTCCGTCTCTCAGTCCCTGAGAACCAGCAAGAGAAGCGAAAGGCCCGGACAGTTCCTGAAAAGAGGTGTCCGTATTTCCAGTTTGGGATTGTTTAGTTGTTTGGGTCTCTTATAAAGGGCCTACCAGGCGGATAGAGGGAACTACACAGGGGGTGGATTTGAGGGATTGTTGGTGAGTGTCAAGGGTTCGCCAGTGGCGAGCTCAGCTAGGGTAGATTGAGCTTGGGCCCCCTTGTGGAGGTTCCTTTGATTGGGAGCCGATAAGCAGGGTCGGATATTTCAGGCTCAGAAAGTAGGTTTTGCAGGTAATTATATATGAATCTAGGATTAGGATTTTCGTTTGCCTAATTCCCTGCTGTTGGCTGAACATACAGTGTCAATTGAGCCACAATCGAAACCCGGGTAGATGAAGGTTAGTAACGAATACTCCCAACCATAAATAGCAGCGGCCGCCTTCCAAATTCTTTACATGGTTCTGGGTAAACCATTTTGTTCCCGGGTTTTGATTCCGACTCAATTCCTGTTTGGCTTGTTTTGAACCAGTAAGTCAGACAGCAGAAGAGTTTGCTCCAAGCACTCTGAAGATAAAGATGGCACCCCAGGGAGTCCTGGAAGTTCGATACCTGAGTGTCCGGGCTCTTGAGAGTGGCAGGTGAGTTCCCGGTTCCTTGGGTGTGTAGAGAGTTTCTATCCGATGGTTTCCTGCATAAACCTCACGGTTCAAGCATCACCGGGGTAGAAGCTGGGAGAAACCGCCCCGAAGCCAATCCGAAGCTCTTGCAACAGCTGTTGCAACAACGCGCGAAAACCACTCATGTGGCTGTGGGTCAGAAATAGGGTAACCCCAAAATGGGTTTCCCTGGTAAGTGGCAACATGGACCAAAACCTGTTGTCCAATTCCTGGTGGTTTAATTTTGACCGACCCCACACTCTAAGATCAGCCTAATTCATCCACCCTCAACCCATCCCTGCACAAACCCTGAGCCTGCTGAAAAACCTGGCCTACAATGTTCCCCACCTGCACCCATTCCAAACCAACCCTAAAACCCGACGCAGCATTGAGACCGCATGGCTAAACACCTTGCGAGATGTACATGCACCCTGAATGTGTCCTGAACCCCCCCCATCTACCCTGCACTGACTCTAAGCTTGCCGCTCTATCGTTTTGAAGTCATTTGACTCCACCCGTAACCCACCTACAATCATCTTACTCCAGCCTTCCTAATACCCGAAACTTGCTCTCTTTCGGGACCCATCCTCACCCTTCCTACATCCGCCCCATTTCCACCCGACATCCACCCCAAACCATGCCAATCCGTACCTATGTTGCACCCACCCTAAATCCGAGTACCAAGCTGGACATCCCCCCCCCCCCCCGCTTTCTCCGCGAATAGCCTCTGAGCCAGCCTCCAGCAGCACCAGCCGGCTGCGTGCGCAGTTTTGAGACTTCGAGCAGTTGTTTTGTGCGGGTTCAAGCGTGCGCACGGCCGTGCTTGTGTTTGTTTTCGTGTCTTGGTGCGCCTTTGAGTGTGAACCCACAAACGAGTTGGCAGATGTGTACGCGTCGGTTTTCTCCAGCAACTGAGGCTCCAAGCCAAGATTACACCTCTCAAAGTAACACCTCCGTTTGCGCAAGGTAAGGCTGATTTGAGCCCTTTGAGTTTGAGGGGAAATGGTCATGACCGTCAGGATTACATGTTAAATTGGATGAATCAGTGCTGCAGAGAAGGCAGAGGCCTTTCGCTTCCGAATCGGAGGCTGCCCTAGGCCCTAGGACCGCGCAACAGCTCTTTCCCATCGTGAACCTGTTTTGACCCTTGGAAAAGGACCCCCCCAACAAAAAGTCCGCCCGAGTTGATTGACCCATTCCCCGTGCATCTCACTAGTAGGTAACCCGTTGATGCTTTTCTTGTGCCTTTGGGGCGGTTTCCCTTGGTTGCGACCACAATTCGCCTCCCTTGGCTGCAACCAAAATTCGCTTCCTTGGCTGCAACCAAAATTCGCTTCCCTTGGCTGCAAAATTCGCTTCCCCGGGTTGCAACCAAAATTCGCCTCCCTTGGCTGCAACCAAAAATCGCTTCCCTTGGCTGCAACCAAAATTCGCTTCCCTGGGTTGCAACCACAATTCACTTCCCTTGGTGGCAACGAAAATTCATTGAAAAGCAGAGTTGGCATTTGTGTCTTCCATGGGGTGTGCCGCAGGGAGCTAAGCAAGATGGGCCACGACGTCGGGACTCTGGCAGACGCCCTGAACTGCATCAGCAAGGAAGGCGTGGCCAAGGGACACGACTAGATCAGAGTGTCAGCTGGTTTTGTGGCCTTGACTTGCTTTTTTTTCTTTTTTCTTTTTTTTTTTTCTTTTTTCTCTCTGGGCAACCTTGCAGTGTTTTGTTTGCCTTCACTTGGCAATTTGGAGTGCTTTTGTTGTCTATTGTTGGAATTCGTGCCTTCACTTCGGATCTTGGAATGGTTTGCGGGGTTCCTTCTGATTTGATTTTCACCAGGGGTTGAATTCCCCAAGGCCGATCAGCACCAATTAGCCTGGCGGGGCGAATTTAATCATGACCTCACGGCGGGATGTTGGTTTGCGGCAGAAAACTCGTGAATGTTCCTATCATAGAAGACTCTGCTCTGAGGTTTGAGTTGATCCAATTCACTGACCGGGCAAAAAGTGATGGATATTCCCTCCAGTTGGGCGATCCGGGCAGAATGGCCGCGTTGGTGGGGCAGGCAGAAGTCTGCCGACATCAACTGTGGACCAATCGATAAGACTTTGTCGTGCTTGCTTGATGCCGATAGAAAAACAAAACAATTTAAAGCTCGCGTCACTGGTGGGTTTCCATAGTGAGCTCCATTGGCTGCCAAAGTGATTCATGCGTTGCAGGGGCAGAATTGTTGTGTTAGGGTTTCTTATTTGAAGTTCTGCAGAATGTTGTAGAAATCCAAATTTCTCTCTCTCTCTCACACACGAGAAGACACCCAAAAAGGGACAGGGAGGGTTTGGGTTGGAACCGTTCCCCAGGTTTGGGGAATCCACGCAATGGATGCAACGTCGAATCTGATTCGAGCTTTCGGGCCAATGGGCGGCTGGGCTTTGGTGTCCATGGCAGCAAGTTCCATGCGTGCAACTAAGGACCCGAAAGCAGACGCTTGGACCCCCTTCTGTTCAAAAAAAGAAAGAGAGGGCCATTTCGTTGGACCGGTATTCAGCCAAGTGGATCGCAGTGAGAACTAGGTGATCAGGAATTCCCCTTCTTGCGAAATGGGTGTGTCTTAAAAGGACCCCGAAACTTGGCGACGGTGTCCTTTTGGTCCTTCATCAACTGAAGGGAGGGGTTCGCAACAAGAAGTCACATGCAAATGATGGCTTTCACTGGGGAAAACGCGGAAATTATGGAAGAACATAGACTATGGTCCTTCATCAAAGGTGTCCTTTTTGGTTGATTTAGTTGAACAATAGAGGGCGATTCCTGGTTTACCTGGTGGTTCAATCAACTACCAGGGCCATCTATTTTCCCAAAAAGGACACCTATGATCATGATGGGTTTCACTGGGGTTCTCCCCCCAAACATGGTGGCCGTGGCCCGATTGTTTTTTTTTGATACGTGGCGCTCCATGGGTGCGAGCGCTGGAGGCGCCACCTGCCATGCCAAAGTTGGCTGCGATGACGGGGAGCTGGTGGTGGGCCGATGCCCCGGCTTTCCCCTCGAAAGATAAGACACCCGAGACATCTTCAGCCCTGCTGATGGACAAAAGCCATTTCGCACCACCTTGAAACCATGGTTGAAACTATTGTTGGTCGGTATTTACAGGGGGAACTTGACGCATCCCAGGGTTTCCGAACGGTGGTGCGAAATGGATTTGGGGGAGGGGGGTGACCCCTGGAATTCCGGTTCTATTTCCTTTGTAAGGGGAAGACTAGACCACTGGAATTGGGGACCCCCCACCCCCCTCCCCTTATGGTACGGGGGATAAGACAAGCCCCGAGACGTGCGCATAGATAAGTCCACTTTTAGGCGAGGTCCCCCAGCTAGGTGCCCTTTTTACCGTTTCTTTTTTGGTTGGGAGGGTTCCCCTACGAAAATAAACTACAGAAAAGACTTGGTACCCTTATTCTAACCTCTCTACTGGAGGACCTAGTAGGTTACTTTGGTAAAACATAGATGGCACTGGTTTAGATGGATCTTATTCCATATTTGTCCAAAAGGCCACCTATGTACCTGCGGTTTCCAGCAACCAAGATGGGTTTCAATGGGTGGGACAGACGTTGGCTGGGACAAGCTTTCGGGGTTCACCTGGCTTCGGAAGAATTGTCAAGGTCCCTGGGCTAAGCCTCAAACAAAACCCGGATTAGATGGTTGTTGTAGGAAAACATTTTTTCATTTTTGCTTACTGTGGTTTAGTGGTTGAAATCCAACCACTTAACTGCTAAAATTTAGACTTTTGCTTTCCTTCCAACGTCAACCAAGCAAAGGAAAGCCGCAAGACCTCCAGTCTGTGACCTTTTGTTTCCTTCAGAAGCGGCGGCGGAGGCCCCTTCTGCCCTGCTTAACTGGGGGCCTTCCCCTGAATCCCTGCTCCGCATTGCTTGCTCGTAGCGCTCGCCAGCGCCAACCGTTTCGGCTGAGCCGCAATCCAACCTACCAACTTTCATTTGAATACACAGCGAAAGGTGGGCAAACATAGGTGTCCTTTTTGGTTGTTTTGGCAAAAGAATAAATGGCCCTGGTTTACCAGGTGGTTTACTCATCTACCAGGGCCATCTACTTCCGCCAAAAGGACACCTATTCCCGATTGGCGCGGTTTGCTTCAAGGACCCCGGGGTCGGACTGGATCCGTTGCCTGAAGGAGATCCCCAAGTGGGGCGACCATTGTCAGCCCAGGCTGTCTAGGCACAGCGCCGTTTTTGTTGAGCATCATGACGAGCGCCGTTCTCCTTTGGGCTCACCCACTTGACGAAGGGCGGCACGCGAGACTGAACTCAGGGCAACGTTTTCTATGTTCTTCGCTGAAGCGAAGCACACCATGTGCGGCCTTTCGCTAGCAGATGTGTAGGACATTTTGGGAGCACGTCGGCAAACGCTGACGAGCGAGCGCCTGGTTTGGGCGCGTTTGGGCGTTTTCGCGCGCGCGCGCGAGGTTTGAAGTGGGGCGGAGAGCTGACGGCGGCCGGCATCAGCGACGCAGAGGTCCGAGTGAATTGAACGCGGGTCTTCTGGAGGTGCCCGCAAGAGAGCCATAGGTTCAGTCAACAAGATGTCTATGAATGTTTTTGCGGAGGCTCTCACGGTGGGTGACATGAAGCGCCCAAGAACATGGTGTCCAGGGTTCCCCAAATAAAAAATCATCCCACCTCGACTCTTCACTATCATTTCTACCCAAATGCGCGCGCAATGGTCGGCAACTCGGCGCACATGCCAATGCGATTCTCGATGCTTCTAGCATTGATACATATCGCCTTCTCGCGGGGTATGCACACATTCACGCCCATACCCAGAGCACTCACTGCAGCAGAAGCACGCATGCTGACTTGGGCGCAAATGGCAGAGTGAAAGATGTACCAGACAGTTGGAAGGACCCAAACACCCACGACATGGCTCGCCATGCACCTTGGCGTTTCACCACAAGCTTTCCCTTTGCTGCGCGCCAGGAGTTTGGCCGGAACTTCCGCAACGAGACGTGCCATTGGCGTCGTTTGCAGAGTTGTAGGGTTGGATCTAGCAACCGAGAAACGTTTCGAGGTTTGGCGATCAGCACGTGTGTGTGTGTGTGTGATGAAGAGCGATGCCTGTTTAGCTAAATACAGCAGCCAAGTCGCTGATTTTTGCAACAACTTTATGTACTCCTGAACCGGTCGCAGTGGGGAAACAAACGCTTGTCCACTTCCGGAATGGTTTGCTCCAGGCGCTTTCAGCCGGTGGGCCGTTTCCATTTATCGCCGGTTGACGGGACATACTGTGGATGGACCAAAATTCCGCACCAGTTGGTAGGTGGTTTATCTCGGTATGCATACCGTAATGTTTCATCCATCCCGACTGGTGTACGGTGGATTTGCCCATCCACAGTATGTGGTTGAATTTTCCGGAATGCCTTTTTTTTTGAGGGTCACCGCCTGTTGGGTGCAAGAACAAATTCGCAGGGAAACCGAAAGGAAACCAGCCGCGCCTGAAACGGCGATTGACCAATATTCTAGGTGGCTTTGCATCCTGGTTTGGCAGGGCTATAGTGATGCCCGTACACACTTTTTTCTCGATAGAACCCACAGCCCGAGGGTTTTGGCCGCTGCTCGAATAGGTGCGAGTTTTTTTGTTTTATAATTTTGATAACCCATTTCAGGGTGGTTCAAAGGCCAAAAGGAACACCATTGCGACACATGCCCATATGAGATTGCTTCAAAATGTCCAGCAATTCTTCTACTTTCGATTTTGGGAGGACATGGAGGGTCCATATCTAGACCGTGCTATGTTGGGTCCCTTGGCCACTGGTTTCCCAGAAGCCAGAAGTGGTTGATTGCCCCGTTGTTGGGTGGCCCTCAGCCAGATCAGATTCCCGTTCACTATTGGAGGGCAAGTCATGCGACCAGTGCCATGGGTTTTTGAAGCGATGATTTCCGACCTCGGGTGGACCGTTTTGATTGGATGCATCCTCAAGAGCTCCCTCAGCCTTCCAGGAAACCTTCGGCTTTCTGCTTCCTTCCCCTTGAAACCACCGAACTCCTTAAACACAAAGGTTTGAGGGGAAGGACTGCTTCGTTTTTGAACACTCCTTTCAAGTTTGGAAGCCTTTAAAGCCAGCCAAGCAAGTTGGTCCCCCCAAGAAACCGAAAGATCCACGATCCATGGCCCAGAGCACTCGAGATCGGAGCTCTACGTGGCTGTACGTGGCTGTACGTGGCACCACCCCTGGAAAGAGTTTTACCCAGGAATCTAGGGGTTGATGGGTTGATTCCTTGTCCATTCTTTTCCACCTCGTTCTTTTCAACCACCGATCGCTGTCTCCCCTGGGTTTTTAGGATGGTTTGCTGAAAAGAAGGATCCCTGGAGAGAATGGGGAAGGTACCCCAAGAAGGAAACGAAAGGAGGGGTTCCCGTTTTGAGAAGCTAGCAGCTCCGTTGCAGCCATCTAAGACAACCTTATGTGATGCTCGATCGCTATTCCCCTCCGTAGAATGGTTACTAGAAGAGCGCAATCAAGACCGACATAAGTCATAATCATTGAGGAACATGTTTGCTTGGCCCGGCCCTGATATTTGTAGGATGCAGGATTGCCTGGCCCTTCGCAACCGCTGACATGAAGTCCAAACCTGACACCTCAAGTTGCAACCCGATCCGTCAGTCAGGCTTTCAACTTTCCTGTCTGCCTTTCGACGCCCAGGGCTTTCAACTGGGTCAGATCTGCCCAAATGGACATGCCCCAAGAACACGTGAGCAATACGCCAGAGATGAATTGTACATCTTCAATCAGGGGACGCGTGCTGTTGGACCACCTATCTTCACTGTCATTGGTATGTGATTTAGTTGTTTGCTGGTTGGGTGTAGCTGCAAAGAGCAGTTGGGCTTTCTTTTGCCACCCTAGCGGCCAGGAGAAATCAATACACTGGTTGATTGGGGGATAACATGATTGCATTTTAGATGGGAGACGGAACTTGGGGACCACTTCTTTTTCTTTTTTGTTGTTTGGGTGGGGGGGGGGGGGACAACTGGGCAACCACCTCCAGTTGATCACACTTTTAGGGGAGCCGGAAGTAGGATCTTGGCTGGAGGTACCCCTCGGAGGTGATCGACGAGCTGCACGCGACCTTGCGCCACGACATCAAGATCTACGCATCGAAGCCGGGGACCTGCGGCCCGTTGCTGGAGAGACGTCTCCTGGAACCAAACACGAGAAATGAAACCAGCCAGCGACACGGCCAGTTCCTGGCTTTTGCTTGAAACGAGCCGTGCAAAGGGCACCCGAACCACAAGTAAGACAAGGTCAAGTACCGCTCCAGTCCTGGACCCGGACACATTGCCGCTCGCAGCTCGCGGCAGGGAGTCGCGATGCCAGCAGACGGCAGCCGCCGTGTGTGGGGGCCCCACCTGGGGTGGCATCGCTGCTGCTGATCCAACCAGGGAACACCCCCTAATCAATCCGCAAGGTTCAATAATCCACAACATGCTTTCTGGGCCAAACAAGCTCACCCAGGATGAAGGCCGCTTGCTTGAGAATTCCCTCCTTCTAATTAGTTGGCGAACTTTTGTGATTTGCCAGCGGGGCAGAGGGGTCGTACCGGTGGACTTCAGCGGCAATCCAGTGAGGCTCAGACGTTCACAAGGGATGCCAAGAAAATAATCCGAGCTCATGGTAATTTGCACAGGCACATTCAGCCGAGTGACACGTGTGTGTGTGTGTCTTATTTTTTGAGGGTATCCTTTTCAGATGGGTAGCGCAAGCCAATTTTCGGGTAGAATTGTCAGGTTCTTCTTGTGGGACACCAAAAGGAACACCATTCCATTTTCTGGGTGTTATTCTGGGAGAGTCTTACCCCCTTTTGGGCAGTTTTAGAGCGAAAGCAAAAGGACAACCACTCGTTTTTGTCTGCTGCAAACTGGATGTGTTCTTCGAGGCAAGGGCCTGATGCGGACGCACTGCCAAGAGCTGCCGCCCCTCATCACCGCGATGGCCCGAGCCTCAAGCTGAACTTCCGGTGAAAAAGGGCGCACGGTCCGTAGGCAAGCTCATCCAGCACTCTGGTGTTGCAGAGTGGGCGTGTCTTTTACTGAGGGTACCCCTTGTTGGTCTGTTTTCAAGGGACGCCAAAAGGAAAATGGTCGGTAAAAAAAGACAACACACATCAGCATGAACAGCCATCGCTTATGAATCCGCGAATGTGCCCATCCCCTGCCCCCAAAAAGGTGGGGTGGGGCGGGGTGGGGTGGGGAGGGCTGCGGTGGGGTGGGGTGGAGTGGGGTGGGGGAACATGAAAAGGGAGCACGCGCACGGGGAGCATGAAGCGCGTGCCAGCAAGCCTCTTTCGCGCGACCCAAAGCGCCCAAAGCGGCCCACCCCTCGCAGGTCAGGACCGATGAATTCGGGCGCCTGGGAGGCGTGGAACGGAGCGGGTGAGGGAATCGCCAGTTTTTTGTTTTGTTTTCAATATATATATATATATACTTGTTATTGTTTTTTATGATTCCCGATGGACTCCGGGCAAATTCTAGCGAGCTCTGGAGAGGAGGCCAGCAAAAACCTTGGATGCGGTACCTGAAGAAAGCAGCGAGTACTCAGTTCGCTTTTTCCACTCGTGTTTCTCGTTCGCCTCGTAAGCCATCTGGGCACAGTCACATTGACATGTCGGCCAGGACCTATTGGGCAACTACTGTACCTTATTGTGTACCATCTTGTTCTCAACGTATCAAATGGCATCTCCGAGTGGCACACAATAAGGTGTGAGTGGCATCTCTGAACCCTCTCAAATTGAGTATCAGAGAGGGTTCCTTTTGTGTGGCATCCCTACCTTCCAGGGGCGAATTCTGGCAATTTGCCCGGAAATCCATGCATTGCTCTGCAGTCTTGTGGACCCATCGCTCCTTTGCTCAGATTCAATCTTATCCTTTTCCAGCTTGGCTTCATATTCAGGAATTAATGATTCCTGGATTTACAGGATGAGGAGGTTACCAGTTTTTGCGCAACTTAGCGCAGTTTGGAATGCGGCCAAAGTGGTTAGAATCATCTTAGTGACAGATCTCATGTTTGTTTGAGTCAATCAGCGGGTGGTCTTGCCTTTTTCTGACACCCTAGCACCAAGGGATATGACCACAAGACATCAAAAAGACTAGCACTGATGTGGAGAGGCCATAGACGGCGCTCAAGGCCACGAACCGTCGCCATTTCTGCGATGCCCCACATTGCTTCTATTTCTTTTTGGGAAGATTCGCAACGTGGTTCCCAAGTTTCGGCATTGGCGAACAGGGAGCTGGAGGTTTCCGGCTGGCGAGGTTTGACTTTCTGACCAAAAAAGCGACAGCGAGCCCGCGAGCCCCTGCACAATGTCGGCATAGGGAGGCCCTTGATTATCCCCAAATCTGGCTTGGGCCACTCATGGCACACCTCCTACCCACATGAAAGCTGACGGAATGTTCCTAGGATGAATGAAGGGGACCCTTTCTGGGAAAGTCGAGAGGCAGATTCGGCGTCTTGGTTTGCATCGTTCCCTCATTCATCCTCGTTGCCCCTCGGCCTGCCCAAGCCCACGCCCGCCGGGCTTTCGCTTCTCAATCATTACGTGCCCCCAGCCCCCATCTCAGAAAGGCATCGGCAATGACTCCAGCATAGGGTGCGTTTCCAGCGAGAATGGTGCAAGAAACACCGCCAGGTGGTCACAAGAACTACGTCAAGAAGGACAAGAAGGAGAAGAAGGAGAAAGACTCGAGGAAGGAGGACAAAGAGTCGAAGGAGGAGCAGGGAGAGAAGGAGCAGAAGGAGAAGGAGGATAAACAGGGGAAGAAGGAGAAGAAAGCGTCAGAGGGCTCTCTCCTCAGCTTTGCTTTCCGCAAATCCGATTTGAACTGGGATCGATTGAATTGGTTCCACCGCCTTGGCACACGGGAGGTGTCTATTTCGGGGCGCCCCTTGTTGGTTGTTGCAAAGGGAAACCACCGGAGGGGGTCCACACCATGTTCGGGACACGCACTTCCCCGAAAAAGCCAGCCAACTCCTTCCATTCTCCGAAGGTCAGGCGTTGAGCCAAGCATCCTAGGCGATGACAAGAAGTCGGAGGACAAAGAAAAGGAGGAATCAGACCTCCCTCCAGCCGACACGCCGCCCGGAATCGATTGGAGCATGGAGCTTTTAACAAATAACGGCAACACCTGAAATGCAGTTGACATGATGTTGGTAGGTTCCCCTTTGTTGAATCCGGGTTCTCAGCGGGTTCCAAGGGGTTGTTTAAACAGGGCTCCTCAAAAGATCTTCATTTTGCCCATTTGAAACATGGTGTTTTCCACCAAAATAAAGGGAAACCACCATTTACAAGGCAATGATCAGATGTATAATGTAAGGATCCCTGTTGGAGGCACCTCATTTATGGCGGCTTTCTATTAGATCTGTGATGGCCACCTTGTGTGTCCCCCACATCTCAAATGTACAGGTCAGAGTTCCATGCGCCGAGGAAATGCAGGCATACATGCAGTCATACCTACAGGCATCATACATGAATACATGTGTGCAGCATACATGCACACGATGGCAAGCAAGCAAGCCAGCTGGCAAGCAGGCAGGCAGGTAGACAGAGGAGAGGGAGACAGGGACAGAGAGAGAGAGAGAGAGAGAGAGAGAGAGAGGGAGGGACAGAGAGAGAGAGAGAGAGAGACAGAGACACAGGGACGTACAGACATGCATTCATACATACCGACAGACGGAGAGACAAACAGTAGCCGACAGAGCAGACAAACAGACAGGCAGGCAGAGACAGAGACACTGACACAGCCATTTGCAGTATACATACATGCAAGTGTACATGCACCTGGTGATAAAACACACACACACACACAAGCACAAAGCCACATAGATAGTCGCTGCATAGCAGCTACGTGGCTGAGGCCCTGGGTGGAGCTGGAAGGCCTAATTGGCATTCCCTGCCATTGCCTCGGAGAGAAGCGGTGTAGGTCCTCTTGTTGGGGGGGGGGTCGGGACACCACAAGGAAACCACCCGACCGTATGGGACCCATGTGGGCTATCCTCTGGTTTCAGACAAAGCCAAGCAGTAATGGAGGTACACTTCCTCCAAACAAAAGGCACCTGGAGGGTATGTGCTTCAAACCAGCCCAGATCAGAGGTCGAATGGGAGATTCAGATGAGTTGCGCCCTGTGGGAGGGTGTGTGGAAGATGGGTTTTCAGCTGAAATCCTTAGATGTCAATTGCGAGAGGGTTCCAGATGAGTTCAGGGGTTCCTTGGCCGCCCAGGCAAAGTATGCCCTTTATAAAGCCATCTTTTTCAATGGGCTGCTCGTTTTGTGAAAAGGTGAGGCATGAGGGGTGCTTTTGTGGGTCATTCCACTGGAATACTTGATGACTGGCTGTATCCAAGTATGGCCAAAGGAGTATTTGCTTGTTCCGCTTGATATTCAAATGTGTTTTGTATGTGCCTTCTCCGAACCTTAGGCAAAGCTTCATTCATGCCTCTCTGATGGACAGGCAGACTGGGTTCCAAGTTGAAGAAGGTCCTGGCTGGAGGTATCTCCGAAAGAACAGATGAGGTTTGCTTCAAAGCCTGACACAGAAGGCGCCCACAAAGCGTTAGGAGCTGTAAAGTTCGCGCCGCACAAGACATGGAACTGTCGCCACTCAACCTGTTCATTTTTTTGGATGAGGGGGTTCTTTAATGCCCTCAGATGGATTTTGAGGGCATTATGTCGTTGCGCAAAGAATCTCCCCTCGAGCCGTGGGTGAAACCGGGATTTACAGGCTCTATTCTGGCACATCCGCTGTATCTAGTTTGTGAAAGATTCTGAGCAATTACATAGCGACCTCAAGTATCTTGGATGTGTGACCTCACCCACGATGAAGCTTCCTTGCTTGCGCGGATGATTGGCAATTTGCCCAGGACTGTCGGCGTTTTTGGCCGTCGCATACAAAGATTCAGCTGTTTCCAGAGAACAGAGACCCCATGAATTCTACCGTCCGTTTCCTGTTAAAAGCAAACCACCAATGCATTGTGGCATTCCCTATTCTTGGACACATCCATGCGAGTGTCCCTTCTAAACAGCTCCATGTTGTTGGGGGCAGGTTAGGACTCGCCTGTACCATCAGAAGGGCCACAGTACCAAGAGCGAGGGTGTTCAATTTGGAAGAATGGACACTGATCCAGGCTGACACTACGTACATCGCTGGCAAGAGCGCTAGGTGTGTCCACCTTCCTGAGACGCTACCCCTCGCCGGCGGTAGTCCTCCAGGAGGGGCGAAAGTGAACCTCAGAGGTCTGGGCAATCGCTACCGCATGGTTTTGGTCAACCAAAAGCTGGTGAGGCAAGGCTCAGGGTTTCAGGTGGGTGAACGATGAGACCCCGCTGACATGGTCACGCGAAAAAAGCCCCCAAGCAGACTGCCAAATAGGGCGTTTGAGTGAGGTCAAAGAGAGGGGGTAGCATCACCCAGTTCCATATATGTAGTCTTCTCTAGGCGCCAAGCGTGCAGCATCCTTTCGCACGTGGGAAAGCTTCCCTTTGCTTCCCAGAAACTGAGTTTGAATTGAGCTCAAGAAATCAAACTCATGTTTCCCCTCACCTGTGCACTGAGCCCTCGCGTGACAAAGCCATCCTGCTTTGGGTTTGGCCACGGCGAGGGTATGTTGCCTGCTCGTGTCTCCGAGAGCGCCGCGCACCCACACCGTCGTGAGTTAGGCAGGTTGTCCCGTTTTTGCTTGCAGCGCTCGGTTGATTTGGAGGCAACAAGTAGCTGTGGCTCAAAAAACCGGAATTTCAAGATGGGTTGCCCTGGTAAGTGGAAACATGCGTACCAAAACCTGCAGTTTGCCCCTCCTGTTTAATTTTGAGTTACACCCACATTTTGCAACCATTTGAAACATGTGGCTTTTTCACCACCAACAGCTTTTTTAACCCCAGCTTTTTAATTCTGAATCCAAGTCTCAAGACGGGGCGAAGGTGCCTCGATGTCAGGAGCTCGCCGAGCTAATGGAAGAGCCGGTCGCCGAGGGTGAAGCTTCCCAGAGGACACCTAATCTAGGTCCGCCAGCTAGGTGCCCTTTCCCTCCCCTTTTTTGGTTGGGAGGGCTCCCCTACTAAAATAGACTACAGAATAAAGTTGGTACCCTTATTCTAACCTTTCTACTGGAGGACCTAGTAATGAATCGGTGCGGATAGCCGCGCTGCTGGGTCTTTCTATGGGTTTTGGGTGGACCCCGTTGAGCTTTTGATAGTGACTCGGTTGGTTCGACAGGGCGCTCCCAAATGTGCATGCCTTTTGAATCTGGGGGCCCCTTTTCTGGAGGGTCTGCAAGGGAAGCCCAGAGGACCCTGGCCCCTTTGCTCAGACGAGACATTAAAGCGCAGCCGAACGCACCAACCCATAGCATTTGTTTCGCGTTTCGACCACGGCTTTTGAGTAACCCCTGGTACCCTTTGCAGGGAATCCCAGTGGAGGCTGCTTCAAGAACAGCGGTTGAAATATGTTGAAGCAGTAGATTGCCCCACCTGCCGGGTTCAAAGGTGGAGGTTGGGTTTGAGTTTGCATTTGTCTTTTAAATTGCGGGGATGGCCAAGGGTCCGTTAGGTTGGTTTGCTTTGTTCGACCCCCAGGTTGTTTTTGGGCCCACAAACCAAGAGGTAACCTGGAGGTTCAATACAGGTTTGGGAAAAGAGGGCCCCCCGGTGGAAAAGAAAGGTGCCTTGAGCTCAGCGAAGCCAAGCCGAGGCTGGTCGCTGCTTTGAAGCAGGGCGAGCTTACCCAGGCGGGGCGCTTTGGGGCACCACCTGGAAAGTGCTTGGTGGTACCAAGTCTTATCTCCCCCAGGTGCCCTTTCTCACCCCTTTGTTGGTTGCCATGTCCACGTTTGTTTGGAGGAGTGGAGCTGTACGGAGTCAAGCGTCAGGTGAGAAGGTGCAGGTACAAGAGGGATGGTCTGCCCAGCGGTCTTCAAGATTTTCGCCAGCCTCGGCCACTTGCCTCCCCCCCTGTGGTTTTTGATCGCAAGAGCACGAGGTCGGCAAGCGCCTGGAGGGATTACTCACATCATTTTGAGAAGGTCATATTTGTACGGCAGAATTGTGCCATGCTCAGAAGATTCCTTTACTTCGGGTAGGGGGTGGTCATCAGCCCCCTCCAGGTTGGCGTTAGACAACCCTGAGGGCTTCTGTACAGAGTCGGAGTTTTAACCGTGGCTGCTCCAACCAAAACACCAAAGGGAAGCATTTGATCCCTTTTTGTCTTTTTTTTCGGGGGGGGAGTTGAGTTCCCTATTTTTCATATTTTGAGACATACCCGAGAAGGCTTCCTTTAGCATCATCCAAGTCGAGAGAGGCCCACTTGTCCCAACCCGGTTCGCCAAACAAATAAAGCAATCTGACCATGCAACCAACACCCCCTTGGTGGGCTGTCGTCATATGACCCTTGCTTGGAGTTTAGTAATAGTACGCATCAGGGTTGTGGGCTTAAGGGGTGGATCTCCGCTTCTTGTAATACCCTTTGGCAATCTCCACCCTTAACTCACTTCCTGAGTTCATGAACTTTAAACTTTTTGGGAAGACCGTTTTAGTGGTAAATTGTTTTTGGACTTTTTTGGGCCATCTACTCAGCCAGTGAGTTAATATGGGGGACAATGTCTTTGGGGTTGGGCCCTTTCCGTATCGCAGATTCGTGGATTGCGGATTCCATTTTAACCACAGCCGTAGGGATGGTCATCAACTTGAGACAACCATTGACGGGGTTCCTGCTAAGACCATAGCCATGACCCACAGGAGGGGTTTGGACCATGGTTCAGCACCACTCTCCTTGTGTGTCTTAGGGTATCCTCCAGTCCACTAACAGGGAACCATGGAACCTGAGGGGTCCTAGCATGGTTGTCGTTGGGAAACATTTGAAACATTTTTGCTTATTGTGGTTTAGTGGGAAATCCCCGCTTAGCTGCTAAAATTTAATTTTTGCTCCCCTTCAACGTCAACCAAGCTAGAAGAGGTTTCCTTTGAAAGGGGAGCCTCTGGTCCAGCTCCATGTGGACACGGCTGAGGCGCTGGCGGGTGGTGAGACGCCACTGCTCCTCCGGGGCCGCTACGAGGCGGATCCGCGGTGCAACCCGCCGCTTTTTGCCGCTTTTGACCCTCCCAGCAGCGCATACATATCTCCCGGCACAAGCCTTGCTTCCAACAGGTGTAGGCCTAGGCAAGGTCTACAGCTAGGGCATGCATAGGCCTGGCCAGGACTAGCCCGCCCTGCCGACCCTCCTTCCGTAGGCCTAGCCAAGGCCCACCTACCCCCCTTCCATAGGCCTAGCCAAGGCCTACCAACCCCGCTCCGTAGGCCCAGCCAAGCCTACCGACCCCCCTTCCATAGACTAGGCAAGATTTATTAAGCCCCCTTCCGCAGGCCTGGCCAAGCCTACCAAACCCCCTTCCACAGGCCTACCAACCCCCCTCCGTTCGAGCGTTCCGTTTGCTAGCGGCGTGCTACCTGCACGCTCGTCCCCGGCCGGCTGATTTCGCGCGTTCTGGATCGCTTTTTGCGATTTTCTTTTAGACCTGCCTCCGCTTGCGTTGGCCTGTCCTAGGCCTACCCAAGGGGTCGATCTCCTCCAAGGTCGGGTCGCCGGAGTGCGTCCAAGCTTTGTGGCCTCGGCAGATGTCCGCCAGCTGCTGGCGTGTGGGGGCCGCCGTGCGCAGCAGCTCCAGCTTCTTCCGCAGCGCCTGGTCCTTGCAGCGCCACATCTCGTGCAGGTTGACCACGAAGACGCTCCGCCACTTTGGGCTATCCGTGGCCTGGCTGTCGCTCACGCCGGGCAGCTGCCAGAAATCCCCGGCGAAGACCAGGGCCGGAATCTTGTCCGCCGCTTTCCACATCTGCAGGATCCGTTCGAACTGCTCGGCGTCCAGCTGCGAGACCTCGTCGACTACCAAGTCGTACTGCGCCAGGGCGTCCAGGTGCTCGTCGGCCCTCTCCTTCCACTAGGCCTGTCGAACCCCATCACGTAGCCCTGATCTGGCCTGCTCTTGGCCGCTGTAGGACCAACGTAGAAACTCGTCTAGTGTCTAGCGAAGGCCTACAGAACCCCGTCCCTTCGGCCTTGGCATAGGCCTACCAACCCCCTTGCCTGGACCCTACAACAGGCCTACGCACAGCCTTCCCCTCAAGAGATCTATGCCCAGCAACGTGGAAGTGCACAACCCCGCTACAGAAGGCTTTTATGTGGCTCGGTGGGAGGTCAATGTTTGTTTTTTAGGGTACCCTTTCTTGGAGTAGACTCAACATGAAACCAAAGTAGAAGCCACCATTTGTGTGTTGGCTTGCCGGAGAAGTTTCCTTTTGGACTTCCCTTTGAAGTCATCTCAACAGATATTGAGATCCAGTCAGTGCCTCAATTCGGCCCTCTTTTGCGGTTTTTGTCCACATGTGTCTTTGATTAGCCAGCTGCAGCTAAATACGGGCAAGTACCGGGCAAACAAGGGCAAGCCTGTTTTCAGAGGTTAATTAATCCGGTGTCTACGCTATTTGGGTCATGTTAATATTTGAGTGGATCAAATGCTTGCTTTTGAACGAGGCGAGCAAACCTGGCCCCTAGAAGTTTCCTTGGCGTTCTCTCTCTCTCTCTCTTTCTCTCGCTTTGCTTGATTGGAACCAAGAATAGGGGGCTTCAGCTTGATGCTCAGGGCTAATTACTTTTCTTTCTTTTTCTCCATGATCATTTGACTCTCTTACCTCTCATGCTCATACAAGCCACTGGTCTTTGGGTCATCCAAAGCCCTACATATCGTTTGTGAATTGGGTGTTCCATTTGGCTTCCGAAGAGTTAGATGTTGCACTCAGGTGGAAGTGGGCGAAAGGCCATTTGAAAGGGAGCATCTAGCGTGTTGTCCTGACAGCCTTTCTGTTTGTGGCAGGTAGTTCTTAGATGATGTGGGTGTCCCCTATTCTTGGACTTGTTTTGGTTCGTTTGAAAGGGAAAGCGAAAGGACACAATTTGCTTGGGAAGTCCCTAACTTTGAGGCACACCTCTATATGCAAGTGATATTGATGGCTGCCGGGGAAGTAGCACAGTAACACGGCCATCACCATATTTGTTGATTACATGATAACGGGCGAAATGTCATTGTGTTCAGGATGATTGATGATTGATTTATAGGACACCAATCTTGGCCCATGGTTGACCCGGAAACGCGGGGTCCTTCGGTTGTGGGACTCCCGCCTTTTGGTTGCTTGGAGTTTGGGAAGATCGGCTTGGCCGAGCGCTCTCCTGCAAATCGAAAGGGAACTTGAAGCACACGGATTTCCTCGTTTTGAGGTTCCATGCCAATGAGTTGAGTTTTCCGCCAGGTGGGGTGAGGTTTAATGCGGCAAATATGCGGAACCCTGATGGCAGACATGGAGGTGCTGGGCTCAATCGAGATCGTAGGGGATTCAACTCATTCAACCTCCCAAAACGTTCAACAAAAAAGGCAGCCGCCACTGACAGCAAACTGTGGGTGTTTCAACATAGGCAAGCCCTTTTTCAGATGAGTCTTGAAAGAAAGCCAAAAGGGCCCCCGGCGATTGCAAGGGATTACCCCTGAGAACCATGGCGCCGAAGGATGTGTTGAACGAGCTCAAGTGCAAGCCGCCTAAGCTGGACAAGGCTCCTGGGATCGGCTTTGCTTGCGATGGGCTGGGTCTTCCGTTTTGCTTCGTGTCACGTTGGACTGGGTCGCTTGACCAAGGCACCAAGAGGTCCAGGCACCCAGAAACCTGGGCACTGCAAAGCACTGTTCTTAAGGGATAGGGTAGAGAGTCGAGACCCCTCCTACAGTAAGTATGCGGTGGTTTTTGGTACACTTTTTCCCTTGGGCCTCGTGGATGTTGAGCCTGAATGGGGGCAAGATCTTGCTGTTGCCACGGAAGTCACCGCGCTTCCATCCTGGTAGTGTTTGTTTTGAAGGGATACTTTGATTTGAGGTGCGCCATGATCTTGTGACCTGGCCGGTTATCAACCCTTCAATGCTAGGTCCCCCAGTAGTGCCCCTTCTCACCCCTTTTTTGGGGGAGGGTTCCCCTACTAAAATAGACTACCAAAAAAATCGGGTACCCGGTAAGTCTAACCTCTCAAATCTGGAGGACCTAGAGAGGATATGGATTGTGACCACCAAAGTCAGGATTTCCAGTTCCATCACAGGCCGCGTGCCGCTGCGAACAGACATGAATCCTTCGGAGTCGAAACACAGATTCCGAGTACGGATCTGTTTGTAACGGAGAACTATGTATGTCAATGCAGCCATGTCACAATGTATCATGATATGATGTTGTAGTACCAGTTTGTGAGGCTGCTTTTTTTGTGCCAGATTGCATTAGACTAGACCGCTTTAAAAAAATAGGTGAGGGACAATTGCTCTCCCATCAATGGAAGTTTAGCTTCCGTAGTACTGGAACCTGTTGTTCTTAGCTCTCTGGCGCCAATCGCCTTGCCATGATATTCATGTTGCTGTACAATGCAGTACACACCAGGGCGTTGCGCTACAATCCGCTACGCTTCACTATGATACACACGCACACACACCAACTGGGGACTTCTGGAATGGAATACCATTTTACTTTCTGGTTCCCATGCAAGTGGGTGGGTGAGGTGGTAGTTCGTTTCGACCTTTTGCCAGGTGCAACAGCTGCTCGACAACCTAGAGTGCGCCGTTCAGATGGCCGAAAGCTCGCCGATTTCGAGCTTTGTTTGCTTGGCCTTTGTCACCCACCTGCCCCAACATATTTGATTTTGGGTTTAGACAACAATGCTGGTTGGCCAACATCAGGGTTGTGGAATCAAGGGGTTTATCCCCACTTCTGTGATACTGATGGGAATCTCCCCCTTATATGAAGGGCTAGTCTGTAGGCAGCCCCTTTTGTTGTATCACAGAAGTGATCATTTCAACCACAGCCCTGCCCAACATCCTCTCATAAACTCCAATGTCCACCAAGTCACGAAACCCGAATTACTTTCAAAGAACCATTGGGTTGCTGGTAACTATCTGGCCCCTACAGCACATTGAGGATGGATATGTTACATTCAAGTGTTTTCCCTTTGGGGCCAGTGGTTTTGGTCGAGTCAACAATGGCCCCTGGCTTTGGTATCAAATCTTTGAAACAGTACTCGGTTGTTGTTTCTGACGTGCTACCCGTCCTGGGATTCTTACAAGGTCCAGTTTTCTCAGTTGCTTACATCTTAGCCTTGTCTATGCCTCTCTTACCCTGCCTAACAGCAAAATGGTCCAGAGGCACCGAACCAGGCAAGAACCGTGCGTGGCATGGCTGAGTCGGTCTCTGAGGACGAGTTGGACAACACAGATGCAGGGGCGGGGGTTCTTCACTGTTCTTGGAATGATTGAACGTTTGGTATCTAGTCACTAGTCTTTGCACAGCAACATTTCAGGTTAGTGCAATATATTTTTTCCCCCCGACAGGAAGGGGTTGTTAGATTTTATGTTGGAATCCGCGTTGCGATGCTTCTACACCACGCCCCCACCCAGTATCTCGCCAGAGCAGTTCGCCAATGGATCCCGCCGAGTATCCCGCCAGAGCAGCTTGCCAGTGGATCCCGCCGAGTATCCCGCCAGAGCTGCTCGCCAGTGGATCCTGCCCAGTATCTGCTCGCCAGTGGATCCCGCCGAGTATCCCGCCAGAGCGGCTCGTCTGTGGATCCCGCCGAGTATCCCTCCCAGTGGATCCCGCCGAGTATCCCGCCAGAGCGGCTCGCCAGTGGATCCCGCCAAGCATCCCGCCAGAGCAGCTGGCCAGTGATCCCCAGAGTTGCTCGCCAGTGGATCCCGCCAAGTATCCCGCCAGAGCGACTCGCCAGTGGATCCGCCGAGTATCCCCTCAGAGGCTCGCCAGTGGATCCCGCCGAGTATCCCGTCAGAGCGGCTCGCCAGTGGACCCCACCGTGTATCCCGCCAGAGCGGCTCGCCAGTGGATCCCGCCAAGTATCCCGCCAGAGCAGCTGGCCAGTGATCCCGCCCAGTAGCCCGCCAGAGTTGCTCGCCAGTGGATCCCGCCAAGTATCCCGCCAGAGCGGCTCGCCAGTGGATCCCGCCAAGTATCCCGCCAGAGCGACTCGCCAGTGGATCCGCCGAGTATCCCCTCAGAGGCTCGCCAGTGGATCTTGCCGTGTATCCCACCAGAGCAGCCGCCAGTGGATCCCGCCGAGTATCCCGCTGAGTATCCCAGATTAGCTCGCCAGTGGATCCCGCCGATCCCGCTGAGCAGCCCACCAAAGCAGCTCGCCAGTAAATCCCGCCGAGTATCCCGCTGAGGATCCCAGAGTAGCTCGCCAGTGGATCCCGCCGAGTATCCCGCCAGAGTAGCTTGAGCCGGAGCGGCTCGCGAGTATTCGCCAGTGGATCCCGCCAGTATCCCGCCAGAGCAGCTCGCCAGCCTGGTTTTGCTTAATGTCCCGCCCGGCGCACAGTTGGGTGTACATTTTGGTGCCTTCGTGTTTTCAGTGTGCCCTGAGGCTCGGAAAGGGTGATGCTTTTGTGTTGTTTTGGGTTGTGAATAAGCAACTTCGTTTAATCCCCCGTCGAGTTTTTTTTTGGAAGGGGCTTGGTTTTGTTAACGGAACCGATGCTTGAGCTCCCGAGATCGGCTCGCAGACAAGTGGAGTTTGACACACAGACAGGTGGATAAGGCTCTCAATGCAAAGCTTGTTGAGCAGTCATAGGTCCCAAGCCACTCGAAAGCCATGCTTGCATTCACACAACCGTGTTCACGGGCGTAAGCTCGTGAGAGTGGAGGGTGGGGATTGCTCGAAGCGAAGTATTTTTCCTGATGCAACTCAAGCAGGAAGTCAAGCATTGTTGGCCTTGAAGGATGCCTCTGTTAGGAAGAATCCGGCTGCTTCATCAACAGGTGGCACCCAAAGAGAAGTACCCAATCCAACGCCGACAAGTGGGCTCAGGTTTCAGGCGGCTCAAATGCGCTTCGTCCCCGGAGGTTGCAATTGGATTGGCCTCAAGCGAGCTCTTGGGCCTGCTTTCGAGCCCGATTTGGAGCCAATTTGCAAGACTTTACGTGGTGAGGAATGTTCAGAACCTAAACTCCAATATCCTGAGTTGGTCGAATGGGTCCGTGTCAAATCACAAGGAATCAAAACATCCGCCATTTAACGTGGCCGCCTTTCCAAGCCCAGTTCCGCACCCACGGGCTTGTGTTCCTTAGCGGTTGTGGTTTTTGAGGTTGCGGAAGGCCAAGTAGACCGCCCCTGACACCCGGGCAGGTACGATGAGCGGCATAACCGGCAGGCCGCTGGCCAAGGTCCAGGGACGGCAGAGGTTTTGGATGTGCCATAGCCGAGCAGTCGTTTGCTTCCTTGAGGTACCATGGTCAATGGGTCCAGCAAAATTGGAGAGATGACAAGCATCAGGGTTTCTATCCTTGTTTCAGGCCGGCGAATGATACTCCACCAGGATATTTGGTTGGCAGACCTATGGTAGGAAAACAAAATGCGTCTGTCATATCTGTTCTGCCTTTGAACGCGGCATGTTGACCACCACCCAATCCGCTCAGGTGGCGAGCGAGCGACATGCCACGTTCTACTTCCTGCTAAGGGGCTCATGTTCACTTCTGAGTGATGAACCTCGCGGAACATTGTCTTAAAAAGGGGTCTGTGCACTTCCATGCGGTCGGGGGGTTTACCTGGTGTTTGGGCAATTAACGCATCCGTTGGCCCATTGTTTTCTTTTTTTTTGGGAGGGGGGCCGGGGGGGGGGGGGCTGACCAATTCAGGTGTAAAACGAGCTCACCAGTGAAGAAGATCCTTTGCTTGGGATCACTTCCCCGCTAAGCAGGATCACCTTTCAGTTCTTTGGTTTCCCTTTGAAGCAACCTTAAAGAGCAACCCTTTTCGACAATGGCTAGAAGTAAGAAGATCCGACAGAGTTTCTCTTTGGCAGTCCTTTGCTTTCCCTTTTCAGAATCAGCCTCAAACAAGTACCTAGACCCTCAAACTACCCTCACAAATTGGATATTGCTCCAGTTGCCCCCCCAAAAAAGGTGCGATTCTTTCATTGGGAAGTTTGGTTGTGTGTTTGTTGGTGTACCGCATATTGGAGTTGGCTTCAAAGGCAAACCACAAGTTCCTCGACCTGCTGGTGCTCAGCAGGGAGTGAGGGAATCCTGGCAAGATTCCCTTACAGGACGTCACAAAGGATGGCTTCTTGGAGTACAACATGTATTTCATAAAGTTCTTTGCCCATGCTTCAGCGGTCTTTCTCGGGGGTCATTCCATTTCTCCTTCCCTGCCCATCGCCTACGCGCGCCTCCCCGCCTCTCGAGGCCTTTCCCGAGGCTGCGGACAAGCCCTTGGCGAGCGCGCTGCCCCTGGCCAAGGCAATCGGTCGGCTCGGGGCGGCTCGGGGCGAGGGGGTAGTGGCGGCTTTGGGCGAGAGATGTTGCGCCTGAATTTTCGATTCTGGTTGAACCGGCCGAGCGGTTTTGGCGCGACCCCGGTTGGTGCTTTTCCTTTTTTTTCCCACTAACAACGGCATCTTTTTTTGAGATTTCACGAGCTTTTGGTTTACATGATTTGAATTTGTGATGTGTTCTGTCCTGTCCTGTTCCTGTGCAGGCTGGTTGGTTGGTTGGTTCTGTGGTTATGCGGTTCTTTGGTTCTCTGTTGGTTGGTTGGTTGGTTGGTTGGTTGGTTGGTTGGTTGGTTGGTTGGTTGGTTGGTTGGTTGGTTGGTTGGTTGGTTGGTTGGTTGGTTGGTTGGTTGGTTGGTTGGTTGGTTGGTTGGTTGGTTGGTTGGTTGGTTGGTTGGTTGGTTGGTTGGTTGGTTGGTTGGTTGGTTGGTTGGTTGGTTGGTTGGTTGGTTGGTTGGTTGGTTGGTTGGTTGGTTGGTTGGTTGGTTGGTTGGTTGTTTGGCGTGGTCTTGTTTGGTTTGGTGTGGTCTGGACTGGTCTGTTGGTCGGTGCGAGGCACCGACAAACCTACCTTGCACATTGACGGAAGGAACAAACAACGGGGGGCCCACATATGTAACACGGGTGGGTTTGGGGTTCCTGCTATCAACTTTCAGGACATGAATCAGGGGCTCCCCAAAATTTGATTCCTTTTGTTGTCAATCTCCAGCAAAACAGTGTGGTCACACAGTTGCCCTTCAACCTACGGTGCCTGCAAGTGGAAGGTTTCTTTGCTGAGTCGGCATTAGAAGCGGAGTTGATCAACGCCAAACCGCGGCGCCTGCCCGTCAAATCGTAAAGAGGCTCTTCTGGGAGGATTCTTAAAAGGGAACGGCCATCCGGAAGGGTCTTTAGTTTGTCGACGAACAAGCACCCCACTCCTATGCCCCAATCCGGACTGGGTCCAGAACCCGGCGCGTTTCAAGTGAAATGTCTGTCCATTTGTCCCCTGACGGAAACCGGGGAGGACGAGTTGTTCAATGTGTTTTTGCCCCCGTGCTTTTGTTCAAACTGGGTAGGGTGTTTTTAGCGCCTGTTTCGGTGTTTCTGTGGTCAGGAGTGCGTCGAAACTTTTCCAGAGCGGCTTTTGCGTCCATACAGACAGTCTTTGAATTGGGGGTGGGTCAAAATTAAACCACAAGGGAACCGCAAGTTTTAGTCCATGCTTCCATTTACCCGGGCAACCGATTTTGGGGTTACCCTATTTTTGACCCACAGCCAATTGGACACTTTGGCCAAATCACACGTCGCAGGACCTTTGTGACGTTGTGGTTCCGTTGGAGACGGCCCTGCAACGCCGGAGCCTAAGTGATTCGCGGGTGTCAAGTGACCCGTGTTTTCGGAGCCAGAATTAGTTCCCCTTTTTGCTTTTTTGCTTTTTTTGATTTTTTGGGGTCCCTTTCCACTACCGAGGCAAAAAACGATATTTTTTTGCTGGGGTCCTAATTCCAGCCTAGTTTTGAGGGCACCTTTTTGCCGGGTCTGTGTGAATTTGAAACCAACATGGTCCCAACCGTGTTGGACCGTCGAAGCCCCCTTAGGGTTTCGCAAAATGCAGTCGTCAACGCCTTGGTCACTATAGTTGCGGGTTTCTGGATTTTGTTCAAGCGATATTTTTGTTTATCAAAACGGGTGTGCTGCTAAATGCGGGAGCCGTCAAAACGGTTTCGTTCTGTTCTTCCGACCAGACCAAGAACGGTACAGGGAAGCTCCTTGTTGTATTTGGCTGTGGGTCAAAACCAATGGGATCCCATTTTGGGGTGGGTGCACCGACGAGACGGAGTAGACGGAGTCGAGGGGGAGCAGGGAGTCTTTCTCGATCAGGTTGGATAGCGAGAGGAAGCATTGGCGAAGAAAGAGAAGGGGAGAGAAGAAGGAAGCTAGCTCTTTGGAGGAGACAACCGAGATGAACTCCGAGTTCAAGGTGGATGCGCCAGAGGTCCAGCCCAACTTCCTCTTGTCGGCTGGGGAGACGTCGAAGACATACAGAATAAAGGTCAAGTCCGTTGTGGATGAGATGAAGCTCAGTTTGGCTTTCTGTAGGAGTCGCTCCTGCAAGGCTTGGTTCCTTCTTTTTGTTTCGTTTGCAAGCATCATAGCAAGCTCGCCAGAGTGTTTGGTATCCTGTGCTTCCGGTTGGTGAATCATGATTCATACAGTATTTTTTGCAGATTCTTTTGCACCCGTGACTCGTTGGAATGAGCATCATTGTTTTCCTTGGTTGCCATGCCCCAACCCCTTCAAAGAATCGGGCGGAGCGAGGATGCCCACCCCAATTCCAGGGAAGGAAGCCCATTTCTCCTTTCGGGGAAGAAAGATCAAATGGAATGGGTGGTTTACACCGCCCACTCAGGGGGGGGGGGGGGAATTTGGCCAAAAGGACCACCAGCAAAACACAGGGATCCGTAGCAGCGACTTCCTCTTTAAGTGGGGTCCTTGCGTTTCCCGGAAAGGTGAACCCTGTTTCAGGCTCGCCAGCCTTCCGAGAAAGAAGGAACTTAAGAAACCTAGGACCCCTTAACATATGTCCGTCGGTTTCACTTAATACGGCCGCACGGCCTCCTAAAATAAGCATCACGTTTTAGGCCTTTAGGGCCTTTTGGGGAAGTTATGTTTGAGTTCCTTTGGGTATGCTGCTTCAAGGGACGGGAACCCCTGGCGGCCATAAACGCGAAGGGCCGCCTTATCCTGATTGCTTCACTGAACTGATCTTCTCGCTGTTTCAGTATTTGCACTTGCCGCTGGCTCAATACTGTTCAGCGTTGACAGGGGATCATTCGATTCTTTGTATGCCACTTGGGGATGTCTGGACCATCCATTTGGAATGTCCCAAGTTCGCTGGATAACCCTGTTGTTAATCATCAGGGGAAGGTACCCCGGAAGACGGAGGATGACTAGGAGTCATCCTTGTTCAGCGTGCAGTGTTGTTTTTGCAGTTTTTGTTGCATGGCCAGGCCACTTGCAGTGAAAAACAGACACACTCACGATTTTTTACCATCTTCAGAGGCATCGGATCTCTCACTTTCTTTAGAAGCTGCAAGCCAACCAGTCGGCCACGCCTTGGCGTCCCAGGCCTCCCGTAGCGCCGGGTGGTTTCATTTGGCTATTGGGATGGGGGCGGGGCATCAAAGGCGGCTCCCAAGAGCCAGGCAAAGAGGGGGATGAGCTGGAGCAAACTGGAGCAAGCCCGTGGCTCTCCAGCGATTTGGATTTCGTTTGTTTCTTTTGGCGAATATTTTCATTGGGACTCCGGTGCCATTGTGCACGGTTGTTTTTGCTAGGTGTATCATATCGTTTTTTTGGTTTATTCTTTCAAGATGCCACTTGTCCACTTGAAGTCAGCCCTCTCAAGCGGCGCCGCTCAGGACGTGGGGACGAGGTCAAAGCAGAAAGCCGGGGCCTTGAATGCGTCAACGCAGGTATGAAGACAACAAACTCCGAGAGGATCCCTAAAGTTGTGCTTGGCCGGGGTAAGTGGGCCGGTGCCGCACCGCCCCCTGCCAGAAAAACAACATCCCATGTCATCGAAGTGAACGAAAAGACCAGCTGGTCCTTGAGACGGAGCCAGTCCTTCCTGCTCGTGCGCGACGTGGCGCTGAAAAATGTGCCGTGTTGTGCTCGAAGATGCGCTGTCATTGCGCACACTAGTCTTCCCACGAATTCTGTGTCTACGCTCTTGCCCTACCACACCAGTTGCTGCTGCATTGCTGCTGCATTGCTGCTGCTGATGCTGCTGTTGCTTTGCGGCAAGAAAACTTCCACAACTCGCGCAAAGGCGGTGTCAAAATTGTCCTCGTACATGCGCTCACTAATCCAACCTGGTGGCGTGTTTTTCTCGTTGCCTGGTCTTTCTGCACGGCGCATGATGCTTAACGTTGTGCCTGTTGTTCCAAGGATAGCTTGCGTTGCATTGTAAACATTTCTTCACCATGCCCACATTCTCGTTGGTAGAAACGGACACATTCCAAAGCCAGGTCATGCTCATTCGCGATCTGGGTGACCACTTTGTACAAATCAAGCAGAGTGTGAGAAATCAAGCAGAGTGTGAGGATTGTTCTTGTGCGAAGGAGCATGAACAAAATGTTGTTCACGGATATGACTCTGTCTGCATTTATTGTTGCTGATTTTCAAACGTCTGTGTTTCGACTCGTGTGTGTTTCAAACTGCCGTCTCAAAAAGTTGTGATGAAGTGACCATTCTCGTGCAATCCAGCGCCGCTCAGTTCAGCATTGGTTGTCTCCCGCACGCCAGAGGGCGCTGGACCATTCCTCCATCCACTGCCTTCTCAAGAAAATCCTGATGCGTGCTCTCCAAATCTGAACTAAAACCTTCTGTATCTCAACAACACGGCGGGCAAAATGTTCATCCTGTCGGGAAACAATGGTCGCATACCTGAAACAGCTGCTAGCTTGCAATATTGCTGCAAATAAATCGTGGATTGGTCTTCTCAAACTGGTATAGTGTGTACAAACCCAGGAAATATGAAGCACAGTGCAAGGCCCTCCTATGTCACAAGAACAGTCAACTGGTTCCTGTCTGCGATGCCGCGAGACAGTATCCTGAGTTATCAATCCGCCTGTCAGGAGGAGCCTCAAGACCGCAGCATTCTGTAGCGCCTCTTCGCGAAGCTGACGATTCTCATTGTAAGCACCCGTCTCAAGTTGTCTCAAGAGGCGCAGCGTCATAGCACGATTCAGACCGAGTTCGGCCCCTCTGAAGTCGGGCCTGTCCTGCGACACACGTCTGAATTGGTCTCTGCGCCAATTCTCACGCATTGAATGCATCCAGGCTCTCTTGTCAGCTGGTGCTGTCTGGAACATCGAGTAAACTGAGGCCCTCAAACCAGCCAAGTTATTACCTTGCCGAAGCCGCTGCATTGGGCCATCCTTCTGCTGGGGTTGAAAATTATAGTACCTGTTCGGCATATCTCTCAGTTGCCGACTGCTGCGCCACACACTCCATGCTGTGAGCAAACCATCCATAACCCTGGCAAAGGTGGGGTTGAGGGAAGGTGACGTTAGCAAGGCGAAGTAGACCGTTGGGTTCGAGGCATACTGGTCTCTGCGAAGAAGACAACGCATTATCTTGGAGCGAACTTTAATGATTTCATCCATGTGCTTCTTCGCCATGCAAAGCATGTGACTCCCGGATCCCCAAGTGTATTGCGTTCGAGTCCGCAACATCGCCGCGTATGGTTCGGACCAAGCCACTGGCAGGTGCCTCTGAAAGGATCCCTAATTCCAGCTGCGCGGTGTGCCTTTGAGCTCGAAGAGCGAGGGCAACCTTGCCCATAGGGGATCCGCTGACGTCAGCATCCCTTGCATCATCTGGACGCGGGCCAGCCAAGACATTTAGACACCAAAACATCCCCAACATCCCATCCTCACCAACTTCCCCAGCATCCCCAGCATTCCTGCAGTCACCGGCAACTGGGGTTTTCCAGCATCACCAACATCCTCAGCATCGGGGTAACGTGCCAAAATGGCCCCTGAGGGTTGGTTTTGGAGACAACGGACATACCAGGGATGCTTGCGATCAAGCAAGCGGGGTTTCCGCCAAAGCCGTTCTGTTGCAGGTATGCAGAAAACGTCGCAAATACCGTGTTGCTTGGTGCTTTTGCACGGGTTTTTTGCGGGGCTGAGGGGGAAGCTGGGTACGCGGTCTTCGTCTGATTGGCCTTGGGTCACTGCAAGTGTGCGGTGCGCGCACGGGCGAGCGCCAAACGCACGCACGCTTGCACGCGCACGCGCGCGTGCGAGCACACGGACGGCAGGGACGTGGGGTGGGCACAGGGGAGCAAGGTGGGAACCAGCCTGACGCTGCATTGCCAGGACATGGGGCCACGCAAGCCCTACATATTACAAGTTAAAGTGAACCATCAGAGAAAAGGTACGGGATATTTGGGACATTTCAGACGCCCTATCAGCAGCCCGGGTGGTGCTCAATATGCCCAGCCACTGTCCTACTGGTTGCTGAATGAAACGGTTTCCTTTGGTGGATGTCATTGGGCGGCAGAAAGGGACGTCGATGTCCACATTTCACAACGGGCTGGTGTTCAGCCATCCATCCGTGAAAATGTTTAGGCCGGGCAGGGGAGCAGACAAACACAGACAAACAAGCAGAGAGAACAAACAACAGCAACACAAAGACAGAGACGACAACACAGACACAGACACAGACCATCAAGAGAGAAGGCAAGAGAGAAGGCAAGACGGAGCCGTCGGTGTGTGGAGCCGCCTGGTCCGTGAGGCCACGGGATGCTTTTGCTGGACAAGCTGCGGTGGGACCTGCGCGTGGCCTCGGGAGCAGACCTGGGGGACCACGACAAGCGGCACCTGCTGAAGCATGAGGCAAGGATGGGGTTGCATTTCTATGGGACCTGACGGGGGGATCCGGGAAGAGTTTCCTCAGAAAACATGGCGGGTTCAACAAATTCGCTGGTGGGAGGGTCCGTGCAGCTCCGGATTTCGTAGAGGAGCCAACCGCCTAAAATGGATAGATTCAACCAAGGGACTGCCCCTGATTCGATCGGTCGGGTCTAGATGCTGGAAGTGGGAGATGTGTGAAGGTCAGCTTCCAAACGCCAATCTTCAGGAGGATAGGTGTGGCTCCTTTATCCTGATGCCCTTTCTGTGGCTGGTGTCAAAAGAAGGCCAAAGAGGACATCGCCCCAATTTTTTGCGGGTGTCCTTGGAGGCAAACTATTTTTTGGGGGCAAAACGAGCAACACAAATCCGGTAGGTGGTTGACTTTTGGATTTCTTCTGCCAGATTTTGCAGAACTTCTCGGATCCTGGTACATCTCTTCCCCGCGACGAGCATCCCTCTTGAGGGACACGTGCCAGTGCCCGAAGCTTTGCCTCGGAAACCGCAGGCGCTGTACAAGAACATCGCCCCGCCCCCGGCCCGCGGCGCCGGGGATTTGGGATGTTGCGCTTTGGGTGACGGATCAGGGATCCTTCCATTCGCCCTGTTTCTGGTGGCTCAATCATCACCATTTGGACCAACCTTTTTGGGGCTTTTTGGTAGGATCACGTTTCAATTGCTCCCAAATTTTCGAAAGGCCCGGGGAAGCTTGGAGGTGGTGTCTTCTCCCTGTCTAAATTCAGAAGGGGTAGCTTGCAGGTGATTCATGTGAGTTCCAATTCATTGCATGCATCCATGCTCCTTGTGGTTGACTTGTTCACTCAAACAGACATGGGACAAATTGGGCAGACACTTAGATTCGTTTTGGTAAATATAGAGCAAGTAGGTCATCAAGCCTTTGGCCAATCCACTCCGGGACGGGCGGAGTGCTTGCAAGCTTCTTTTGCGCGGGGGAGATTTTAACAGCAGCCAAAGGAAAGCCATCCATGCGGGTATCCCGAATTTGGCGCACAACCCGTGCTGCTCAATTGGGGTGATTGCAAGGGCCAGAACGTCTCCAGCTCCAACTTGTCCGACCGAGAAAAAAAATGGTTGCTGTGGGGTAGAGCTCGTGTCACAGGGAGTTGCAGAATGCCCTCCCAGAATGTCCAACCAAAAGCCCCGGTAAGGGCTTATTGAGAGTCCGGAGGGGCTGTTGTCACGGACCCCCCTCAGATAGAGCTCGCAGAGGATGAGGGGGGTGAGACAAAGGGGGCCGAGTGTTGCAGACAGGCAGGAAGCCTCTTGTATTAATAGGTATGTGAGTGCCTTGCTACAGCGACGTTTGCATGTTTTCTGTTTGAGGATTATCACATGGCTGCGTATCAGAGGCAGGGAGACAGCATACAGTTGCATTCCTTTTGCAAATTGGCTTCCCTTCAACTAGCGCCCCAGCAAGCGTTCCTAGTCTTCACTCCTACCCATATGCTGGCTGCCTGCTGCTGCTGCTGCTGCTGCTGCTGCTGCTGCTGCTGCTGCTGCTGCTGCTGCTGCTGCTGCTGCTGCTGCTGCTGCTGCTGCTGCTGCTGCTGCGCGTGCGGCCGAGGATCAGAATTCAGCTCGGGCAAACGAGCGGAAGTCCTCGTATGTGCAGCCGGCTGACCTTGGCGATTTGGTGTTCGTGCCGAAAACCAACGCCTCACCTGATTGAAATTCAACATAGATCAGCCCAGCACCCAAAACCCATTTGACCCAGCTTTCTAAGGGTGGAAGTACCCCTTGTTCATACCCCTTGGCTTCCGTGGTTTCGAACCCACTTTATACGGGGTATATACCCATTTTGGGGAGAGGGGTATGAAGATCAGCAGGCCTTTTGGGTTCATTTGTGCAAGGGGTATGTAAAAAGGCTACAGCAAGGCCTATATACACTTTTACGAACATGTTGCCAGAGCCAACAGCTAATGCGGCAAAGAGCGCGTCACCTGAGTTGTATGATTTATGAGCTAAAGGGGCCTTTTTATTGGAAATGTTTCCTGGAAGGCATGTGCCTTGCGTGCCTACGTGACAGCATCCTTCAGCCAACTGTTTCAGCCTTGTTTGGGCAGGCGTCCCTTCTAGAGAGCGCCGCTGACATATTGTTGCCCGTCTGTTGTTAGTTAGGTAGATGGTGAATGAGGGTCGACCAAAGCGGTGTGCTTGTGATGGCAATGGGACGCTGGGCAAGTGGTCCGGAATGCGAAGGATGATGGTCCATGCGGCTAGCAGTTGCCTCTCAGGCCCGAGAGGGTTTGGCTCTTGCAGCGACTGGGAATTGAACAATAGGTGTCTTTTTAGGCTAGTTTGCATAGAAGTAGATGGCACTGGTTTAGATTGGTTTTATTTCATTTACCAGGGCCATCTATTTTTCCAAAAAGCCACCTATGATTTGAACGGGTTGGTTTGGAGCAGCGCGAAATTGGTTGAAACGATTTTGACTGGGGACTCCTTCAACTGGAAATCAAAAGGAGGATGTTTAAACAACCGTGGCTCAAGAATGTTCAAATAGGTAGTTGAACGCCCATCGCAACGCTGCTTTGGACGCCCATGTTGAAACAAGCATCGCTGCTTTGGACGCCCATCGCAACTTTTAGGAACAAAACACAGACAGCTCACCTCTGGCTTCCTCGTGGAATTCAAGCTTAACACTTATATGCCCATGGGTCAAAAGCCCGTACCCCCAGTGAACATCCCAATCCCAACTAAAATAGGCTAAAATGGGTGGTGCACCTACGCAAAATGGTACTATTGGTTTTGACCCACAGCCATATGACCATCTCTTGTTTGAGCCCTGTTTACCGGTCAAACCGGCGGTTTGAATGAGCAGTTCGAGGCGTCGTGAAAGAAACGGGGGTTTGCATGTTGACCTTCTGCTCATGCAGCTCAGGAAATGCTGGATGGGATCTTGGATTCATCCTTTGTGTCCTCGCATTGTCCTTTCTTCCTTCTGCCAGCTCCTTTCCCCAGCTTGGTGCCGTTTTTAACCCCGTTTTGGTTGGGAGGGACCCCCTACAAAAATAGGCTACAGTACTGCTACTTCTACTGCTACTGCTGCTGCTACCGCTACTGCTACTGCTACTGCTACTGCTACTGCTACTGCTTCTGCTACTGCTTCTGCTACTGCTACTGCCACTGCTACTGCTTCTGCTACTGCTACTGCTACTGCTACTGCTACTGCTACTGCTTCTGCTTCTGCTTCCGCTACTGCTACTGCTTCTGCTTCTGCTACTGCTACTGCTTCTGCTTCTGCTACCTTTACTGCTTCTGCTACTGTTCCTGCTACTGCTACTGCTACTGCTACTGCTACTGCTTGTGCTACTGCTACTGCTACGGCTTCTGCTTCTGCTTCTGCCACTGCTAGTGCTACGGCTTCTGCTACTGCTACTTCTTCTGTTTCTGCTACTGCTACTGCTTCTGCTTCTGCTACTGCTACTGCTACTGCTACTGCTGCTACTGCTACTGCTACTGCTTCTGCTACTGCTACTTCTACTGCTTCTGCTTCTGCTAGTGCTACTGCTTCTGCTACTGCTACTGCTTCTGCTTCTGCTACTGCTACTGTACTGCTTCTGCTACTGTTCCTGCTTCTGCTACTGCTTCTGCTACTGCTTGTGCTACTGCTACTGCTATGGCCTATGACTGTGGCTATGCTGCTGCGGCTGCTGCCAGCGTTGCTGCTGTACTGCTACTGGCACAAGCTGTAGCACAAGCTGTAGCTGCTGCTGCTGCTAGTTGCTGCTGCTGCTGCTGCTTCTTTTGTTTCTGCTGCTGCTACTGCTGCTGCTTCAGCTCAATGAAGCTGCTGTAAGCTAACTGCTCTCGGTGCTATAACTATGACTGCTGCTGCTGCTACTGCTGTATGCTGCTTTACTGCTATGACTATTGCTACTTAACTGCCTGCTGTGCTGCTGCTGCTGCTGCTGCTGCTGCTGTTGCTGCTATAAGCTGTAGCTATGGCTAAGCTGCTGCTATGGCTATGGCTATGGCATTATTGCTGCTGCTGCTGCTGCTTCTGCAAGCTATAGCTGCTGCTGCAAGCCTATGCTGCGCAACTGCTGCTGCGCAACTGCTTCTACTATGCTGCTGCTGCTGTAACTGCTGCTGAAGCTGCCAACTGCTGCTGCTGCTCTGCTGCTACTGCTGTAACAACCATTATGCTGGCCAGAGCTGTAACTGCTGCTACGCCGTTTCTGGCTATGGATGCTGCTGGATTGCTGCTGCTGGCTTCAACGCTACTGCTGCTGCGCTGCGCTGCTGCTGCGCAAGCTAACGCTGCTGCAGCTGCTGCTGCTGCTGCTGCTGCTGCTGCTGCTGCTGCTGCTGCTGCTGCTGCAGCGCTGCTGCTGCTGCCACTGCTGCAAGCTACCCAACAACGCTGCTGCTGTTTATGCTGCTGCTGCTACTGCTGCTGCTATAGCTATGGCTATGCCTCCTTAACGCTGTTCTACTCGCTAACAACTGCTGTTGCTGCTGCTGCTGTAACTGTCTGTAACAACAACAGCAACAACAGCAACAACAACAGCTTTTTATTCTATATATATATATGAAGCTATGGCCTATGGTTAGCAACTGCTGCTGTAACAAATTCTATAACAACAACAACAGCAACAACAACAACTGCTGCTCGCGAACGACACTGCGGCTGCTTTAGCAACAACAACATGCGACAGGCTATGTCATGTGACTATCGTTTATATGTAACAACAACAACTGTAACAGACGAAAACCCGCGTAACAACAGCTGCTTAATTTTGAGTGCTCGTTCAACAACAACAGGCTGTAACAACAACAACAACAACAACGAACATGTAACAATATATATCGCTAACAACATTAACGTTTATAGTATGCTGCAACAACATTGTGAAGTTCGTAACAACAACAACATTATTAACAACAACAACAGTGTAACAACTGCTGTATTTCTTAATTGTAACAACAACATTATTAGCAATTTTGTTTGCGATGCGAAGCACTTTCTTCTTTCAACAACAATGTATTCTTAATAACAACATCATTGGTACAACTGTTGCTCAACAACAACAACAGCGACCAAACGGAAACAACCCAACAACAACAACAGTGGCTGTAACATGATGAACAACGACTTTGACTGCTTAACAACAACAACAAGGCTGTACTGCATGACTATTAGCTAGCAACTCATGACCTGGCCTATGGCTGTAACAACAACAACATGGCGAACAATAACAACAACACAACAAGTATGTATTCTGATCGTAGCCACTTGGCTTGCACAACAACATCTTACTAGCAACAACGACAACTTGTTCTTAAACTCAACATGAACAACAGTACAACAGCTCGTGCAGTAACAGCTGTAACAACAACAACAACAACAACAACGAACAACAGTAGCAGGCTGTAACAACAGGCTGTATTTCTCAGGCTGTAACAACAACAGCAACAGCAACAACAGCTGTTAACAACAACAGCGGCAACAACAACAACAATTTGCGCAGCAATAACAGCAACAGCAACAGCAACAGCAATTCTGTGTAACGCTCTTCTTCTGCTACTTATATAGCTAATATGCTGCTGCTGCTACTGCTGCTGCTTTAACACTGCTATTTATGCTAACCTATTGTGCTGTGTACTGTCATAACCTTGCAGCTTAGCAACCTGTATATATTGCTGTTGTACTTTACTTTTAACAACATGCTGCTACTGCTATATTGTAGCTATGCTATGCTGCTGCTGCTACTGCTTTGCTGCTGCTACTTGTGCTGCTGCTGCTACTGTACGCTACTGCTATGGCTAACAGCTGTAGCTATGCTACTGCTACTTGCTGCACTGCTTCTTTCTAGCTACTGCTACTCTGCTATGCTACTGCTACTGCTGCTTTTGCTACTTTCTGCTTCTGCTACTTTCACTGCTTCTGCTACTGCTACTGCTACTGCTACTGCTTCTGCTTCTGCTTCTGCTACTGCTACTGCTACTGCTTCTGCTACTGCTTCTGCTTCTGCTTCTGCTTCTGCTACTGCTACTGCTACTGCTACTGCTACTGCTTCTGCTTCTGCTTCTGCTACTGCTACTGCTACTGCTACTGCTTCTGCTTCTGCTTCTGCTACTGCTACTGCTACTGCTTCTGCTACTGCTTCTGCTTCTGCTTCTGCTTCTGCTACTGCTACTGCTACTGCTACTGCTACTGCTTCTGCTTCTGCTTCTGCTACTGCTACTGCTACTGCTACTGCTTCTGCTTCTGCTTCTGCTACTGCTACTGCTACTGCTTCTGCTACTGCTTCTGCTTCTGCTTCTGCTTCTGCTACTGCTACTGCTACTGCTACTGCTACTGCTTCTGCTTCTGCTTCTGCTACTGCTACTGCTACTGCTACTGCTTCTGCTTCTGCTTCTGCTACTGCTACTGCTACTGCTACTGCTACTGCTACTGCTTCTGCTTCTGCTTCTGCTTCTGCTACTGCTACTGCTTCTGCTTCTGCTTCTGCTACTGCTACTGCTTCTGCTACTGCTTCTGCTACTGCTACTGCTACTGCTACTGCTACTGCTACTGCTTCTGCTTCTGTTTCTGCTACTGCTGCTGCTTCTGCGTTTCCTACTACCACAGTTTCTAGGCCTCCACATGACGCGACAAGGTTCCTATTGAAACTAACCTACAGGAGGACCTAGCTGTTCCTATTGACCAACCCCGCCAGGTGCGGTCGCGGCTCTACTTCAGCCACAACTCGCAGCTGACTGGCCCGGCACCCGCGGGGAGGGAATTCCTTGGGCCAAGTTGAGCTTGCTCAAACCCCGGGTAGATGAAGGTTAGTAAAACACCATCCCAGGCAGAAACAGGTGCGGATATCCGCCGTTTCAATACATAGTTTTGGGTGGACCATTTTAATACCAAGTGTTGATTAGGATCTTCAGTTGATCTGCGACGCCCATGAAGATTCTTTTCTTACGGGTCCAGTTCTCCTTTCAGGCTACCAATTTATGATGTACCCGGATTCATTTGACCAGGGTCACTTGAGAAATCAGAACAACAAGCCTATACCTTGCCCCAAATGGGCAGATAAGCAGATTCACAGCCCCTGAGCAAATTGCCCGGCCATGAATTCCCTTCACATTATATAGGGCACCCAATCTCTTTGCGTGGCCAAAACGTCCAAAGGACAAGCCCTGGGGATCGCTAATGTTTGGTGAGGTGAGTGTCTTCCTGTTTTGGCATGGGTTCATTATTTGATTGCTTTGATAACGGGTTTTGGTAAAGGTCGATATCGTAGATGCACAGGATTTGCAGGCCGGATGAAGCTTCAACAGACGGGTGCGCTCTCATTTTTAGAGGGCACTGTTGGGCTTGTGAAACCAGCAGAAAACTATTCCCTTTTGGTTTTTCCATGGGATCTATGGGGCTTCCTGAATCAGCGAGTTGAACGATCTATTTGGGGACTGACAACAGATCCATGCCGGTGCCTCAGGGCTGCTGTACCTCATGCTGAATGGCCTAGAGCGCAAGGATTTCCGCGAGCGCGTGAGCGGGGTCCTACCAAACGTTGCTTGCCAATGAACAAAAATGTTTGCCAAGCACCAACGGGCATCTGCCAACCAAAAGGTGTTTGCCAAGCACCAACCAAAAGATGCTTGAAACGTGGTTTCCACAAATCAAACGGTGTTTTCTATCCACCAGATGTTTTCCAACCAAAAGGTGGCTGCCAAGCGCCAAAAGGTGCCTTCCATCCCTGAATGGACATGTTGAATCGTAGGTGGTTGAATCCCGCCAGCTCCTTTGTCGCCGTCCACAACAAACAAGCGCTTTTGGCATCCACCAGAAGTCCATCAATCTGGGCAAGAAAAAGAGACCTTGGCCCACTGATGAATCAGGATGAGTTCTCTGGAGATGCATGGTTCATGGCCGGGTTTCTGTGTGCAAGATTTGGCGAAACAGCCGGTGCCTGCTGGTTACAGGCCAGACCGCTCCATGGAGCCAAATAGCTCCGTATTTACCAAGCTCAAGAAGAGAGGCACCCGAATGAGCACAATGGCCTTCCCAAAAATGGTTGAGTTCCTTTTGGTACCAAATTTGGACGGAACTACACCCCAAATGGCCTAGCCATTTTGATGGTTTTCCTATTGAGAGACAAGGTACCAACTCCAAAAAAGGACACCCACCCAAATGGGTAATGGTGCCAGCAACCTCTCTGGATGCGTGCTTGACAGGGACATCGCACAGCTTTTCTCAGTCTGACTTTGTTGCAAGCTGCGTTTTGCTTGGCCCAAACGTGCGCAGTTTTGTCACTTGCTCTGATGCACCTCAATGCCCATGGTGAAGGTTCAGGAGTTTGGGGGATCCCGCATTGAGGCAGATTCGACCATTGAATGGTTGCCAGAAAACTGAATCCTTGAAATGGGTTGTGACCCCAGAACTCCAAAGATTGGATCCAGTGGAAGCTCCAGCTGGTTCCCAATAATTTTGCCTTTCTGAAAGGATCGTTGACATGGGACTCACTGGCACCTGGAAGTTGGTTTTCCTTTGGTTTACGGTGCTTCTGTCCGGATGGGTCGTTTTCTGCATGTGAGCGTTGCTTTGATGCTGACCGGGCGCCAGGAGTCGGCGGGAGAGGCCGGGATAATCGATCAGTGCATAGGGGGGATTCATGGATGGGTGGGTGGCTGGGTGGCTGGGTGGCTGGGTCTGACAATGGCCTCCATCCCCTCCATGCCCTGCAATACCTTGCAAGAGCTCTCGAACAGGTTTTTTCTTTGGCTTCAGTGTACAGCAAAAGGCCCACCTGCATTCCTTCCCTTCTTCTCTCCATCCCTCCATCCGGCCATGTGCGAATCATTGTTGGTGGATTGAAATACCAAGAACATGTGTTTGCTTGATGTTGTACTCGCTCTCGTCATTTCTGCTTTGGTTCATCCATCCACTCATTCAGCCATGCTCTTGCTTATGCATGTGCTTAAAGGTTCTATCCACCACATCCATCCAGGCACTCATGCATTCATGGATTTATCCATGCTGCATGCTGGAGAGGCACTTGATGAAGGGAGGCAAGGGATGTGTTTCAGCTTTATGGATGTGGGAACTTGGGTTTTAGGTTGTGGGTGGCCAAGTTGGAATTGTCGCTCAGTGCCGGCCAACCAAACAGCAACTCAGCAATGAGCAACTCGGCAAAGCCGATCGGGTCTGCAAGCAGGATGTCATTACCAAATTGAAGGAATCACAAGCCCTTCTTGCCCACTGAAAGTGCGGCCCTAGCGCTCAGAACAACCTAACACCAGCAGGGCGTGACATGTTTTTCTGGAGTCTGTTGAATTCCTCCCCTCCAAACCCGCCCTTTTGCACACTCGGCAGCCGAGAAGGCTCGGTTGGGCATCCTCACTTTGTTGCAAGAGATGAGGCAACCGAGGTACGAGATACGAGGTGCTAATTTCAGTCGTGGATTCAACGAGGGCAGACGAGGCGCTTACCCCTTAACAAGATTAAATAGGCGAGGTACTAAAACTCGAAAGCAGATTGAAGCAACGAGATGACCTGTGGCAGGGCAGCCCCCTTCCAAGCACACCCAGTACAGGCGCCAGCCGCGAATCGAGCGATTCGGCGAATCCATGGCTGTGGGGGGAATGTGGCGATCGTTTGCAGGCGATTGGTGTTCGTGGTTTATTCCCAGTTGCCCAGTGGATTGCTTCCTTTTTTGGGAAGGGTTCAACCCATTTAAAGTCAACCAACCGAAAAAGGATGCCCTTGTTTTCGCTTGGCGACTGGACATCTGAGTATCTGGTTTGCGGTGTACTTACTGGCTCTTCGAAGATTACCACAGGGGACAATGGCGGCTTCCCAAATTCTGCAAGTACAGTTTAAGCAAGACCGGTTTGTCATGTGCAACAAACAACGCTCAAGTTTATTCAGCTTTGCCACCGCATTTTGGTTAAGACAGGAAAATTGGCGAATGCATCCTGGCACTCACGTTGTGTTGTCCAAAAATGGCAAGTCTTCCGAAACTACCGATTTCCTGTCGCTTTCCCTTTAACCACTTAAGTCAAGTGTCTCTCTCTCTCTCTCTCTCTCTCCTTTTTCTTGGCATTCACATGACTTGATTTCATTTGGGTCTCAATTATTGGGGCATTCACCATGGGCAATTCCCATGTGACTTGATTTTGATTTGTACACCGCTCGGATGTCGACGGCACTCCGCTCAGCAGGTAGCTCGAAGGCAGAGGCGCGGATGGGGTGGCAGGAAGGGAGCCTGAGCAGTGCCATGAGTTCGGAGGAATGTGTTTTTCCAGTTCTGTCTTGAGCAAATTGTTATTTATTTATTTATTTATTTATTTATTTATTTTTTTGGGGGGAGGAGGTTCTTTTTTGTGTGCGAGGGGGGGGGGCTTAAGAATCAGGTGCGCCAATCGTATTGCTGGAAGCTGCTAGTCATTAAAGTTTAAGTTTTTTTTGAACGTCGAATTGATCAAGAAGCTGGTTCGAACATGTAGCAGCCTCCCAGAGTCGACACAAAACCCATGGCGACAAATCATTGGCTGGTTGTTCTTCATGCCATATTGAATTTCTGCCCAATACTTGGGTAGATTGATATTAATCAACTGTGAACTTGCTCTCGCCCCTCCCTTTTGGAGGCCCCCTTATGCAGGTTTTGACATGTGGGCAGGTCCCGAAAAGAAGACCGTTTCTAGGTTATCTTTCACGCGTGCGCATGTGCTTGCCATGGTTTTGGCTCGGGGATGCGAGGCAAAGAGGCAGATGCCGCGGCGGGGCCAAAGACCTCCACTCAGACGGGACAATTCGGATGCGGGACTCCCTATGTGGGGGGGACATCATAATCTTATCCATTTGAGTGCCCAAAACCAAATCTGTTACTCGGTCTCATCCCCCCCCCTTTTTTTTCTTCTTTTCCCAGGTAATGAGAGACAACCAACTCCCCTAGTCCAGGGAGTAGAGCTTGGAGCTGTCAACCGCGTGAGCCAGGTGCGCAACCTCCACGCGCAGCGCTTGGGATTCATGGCTCACTTTATTGCACCTCGGATAAATTTTCGGCCGCCCGCTTCGCATGGGAGGGATTGGAACGAAACGGAGTAAAACCAGCGCATGAGGCCTTTGGGGTTTCCTTAGTTCCGGTTTATGAATTGTAGCTGGCGCGCTGGACATGCAAAATGGGTGATTTCTCATTTGATTTCCGTTTAAGCCTAAAACAGATATGTTTTAGAATCAGACATGTTATCTGCAGGAATCGCAAGATCCCGACTCCGCCAAAAACCGCTTGGTTGCCGTTTTGGGTTTACCTTTCTCCCCTAGAAAGGTGGGTTTCAGTCTGGGTCCCCCAGTAGTGCCCTTTTATCTTTTTTTGGGGGAGGGTTCCCCGACTAAAATAGACTACAGAAAGAAGGGTACCCTTATTCCAACCTCTCTACTCAAGGACCTAGCAGTGGTTTTCCAAGATGAGCAGCCCCCCCAAGGGCATCAACTCCACGCCACAAATCCCTCCTCGGGTTTGTGTCAGTTTGATTAAATGGAATACACGCACCTCCTGTTCAGAAAGGGTTTTCATATTTGCGTATATTATTTATTTATGTGTGTATATATATATATACATATATTGTAATATTGCGGAAGTTGCGCCAGTTTCCTGATTTCGGGTTGATGAATTCACCACGTGGAGAGCGGTTTCGCCTTCTTTCCAAAGAACCACGTGGGCAAGGCTGAAGGAGTCAAGGCAGCTTCCCAGCTTGAAATCAGCTCCGCCTCCGTTTTCACCGGGCCAATGTTGGTATTTCATGCTTGGGTCCATCCCAGAAAGAAAGAAAGAAATAAAGAAAGAAATAAAGAAGCAAGCAAGCAAGCAAGCAGGCAGGCAGGCAGGCAAGCAAGCAAGCAAGCAAGCAACCAAGCAGTTCAGCTAAGAGCAACGACACCTCTTCAGGGACAAACTAACGACAACGACACCTCGGGACGACTCAGCTTCTCGCAGGTGCGGCTTTGGCGCAAGCGCAGCGACGGATCTCTTCGCGTCATTTGCGACGTGTCTCCCAGCGGCGGGGTGGGGAAAAACGGGAGGGGAGGGGCGGCGCTGCGCCATTTTCTTCGAGATGTGTGGCAAGGTATTCAGGGGCTATATCAATAGTTGCACGAAATATTCTCCGACGATCATCACAGCAATTTTGTTTTTAGAACCTTGATTTCACCCCTCCAGAGTAAGCCCTTGAGGCCTTGGATGTCATTCATCAAGCCACCCGGAACCGCTCAGCAATGCGGATAGAGCGAGTCTTTTGGGGAACCGGACGCACCAAACCACCACACCTGTCTTGGAGACTTGCTGGGCCCTCAAAGTGTGTCTTTTGGCAGGGTTGTTTCCCTATGAACCACAATTTGGGGGGGCAAATTCGAGGATGACTTTAAGCGAGTCTGTCCTATTTCAGAATGATGGACGGTTACATTTTACCTAGAACGTGGTTCCCTTAAAGGATGCATTTGGACCAGTTCAACAGCCACATTAGCTGATTCAGAGGATCCCTTGTATGTAGCGCAGGTGGTTTCTGGATGCTTGGTTCCGAACGGGTTCCAAATTTTCGACCACCGCCCTCCGCAACATGGGGTGTCCCAAAAAGGTTGGTTTTCTTTCGGTTGCTTTTAAACGCCACCTACATGTTGTTGCGGGGAAGCGTATGGGTGGAGTCGAGCTTCACATGGGACCCGCATGCGCTTGGGTGATTCTTTATGAGAGTGTTGGGCCTGGACAATCAGGCTGCCAGTTTATTATTTTGGTTGACCTTGCAGCCGCATGTTCACCCCGGTACTTTCAAGATGTCCGGGGGTGTGTTGCTCTAAAGAGGGAAGGAGTCGGTCCGAAACTGGACACCCTCTATGGATCAAGCAGGGGCTATTCAAATGAAGCGCGGTTCGAAGGTTACTTCGACACCCAGTTCTTTGGGCAATATCCTGAGCCAAACTCAGCTCAAGACTTAGTCTGTCTATAACGGAACTCCAAATTTGGCAACCACTCCCAAAACAACCTAAAACACAATCTAAAATGGCAAGACAAATTCCGGGATTTCCGTTATAGATAGTTTTTGCTTGGTTGCTTCCCGTGGTTTTCCTTCACAACCCAAAGATGGCGAACGCCCCGAAAGCAAGACAAACCCCAGACAGGTGCTCGGAGCGGGAGTTCTCCCACAGACTTGCGCCTTTTTTTGTTGAAGCGGGTGCCTTGGGGAACAATACGTCGTTTTTTCTTTTTTGGCTCACAGCATGGTTGTTGTTGGGAAACATTTTACATTTTTGCTTATTAGAGCTTAGTGGGAAATCCTTAACTGCAAAGCAAATATTTGTTTGCTCCCCTTCCAACGTCGACCAAGGCAGTGAGACTGTACAAATGTCGATGGCAGGTTGGTAGTGCGGTAGAACTAAGTGTCAGTTGGCGTTGAGCGGAGCTTATATGGGAGTGTGTTCAAGAATGCCAAGAGAACAAGAGCAGACGAAGGAACGCGGATGTTGTCCCTCCTGTGATAGGCCTTTCCCTGCTGTTGAATGAGTCATTGGGAAGGCCAAGCTGCTGTATCAGAAAGGTGGAGTCCCTTTCTCACAACCGTGGATAGAAAGAAGCCAAGAGAAGGAGCGAAGAGAGAGAGAGAGAGAGAAAGAAAGAGAGAGAGAGAGAAAGAAAGAGAGAGAAAGAGAGAGAAAGAGAGAGAAAGAGAGAGAAAGAGAGAGAAAGAGAGAGAAAGAGAGAGAAAGAGAGAGAAAGATACAAGTACACGTGCATATTAACATGGAGCCCAAAAGGCCACTTTGGTTTGAGAAGAAGTCTCCTTGTGCACCTCGTATTGCAGGGCTTCCACACATTGCAGGGCAGTATTAACCACTAAGTCTGAGATGAGGTGCTCCCAGTTTCCCTGGGCGCGCTGTTTTTTGGTCGACGCCAAATCTCGCAAAGTTGCCGGAACGGTGTGGCCGAAATAACATCTTTATCTAGAGATTGACATCTTCTCGAAATGTCTATGTGGGGTTGATCACAAGGTTCTTTACATGGGATGACCATCAGGGAAAACAACGAAAGAGATTATGCTTTTCCCACTAAACGGGAAAAGTTGCCCATGGTCATTTGGGGGCCCTACCCTCCCACCAACTAACATGGAAGTGCCAACAGACCCTTTCCAAGAGGAAAGTCGTCTTTCTACAAGGGGTCTGTACACTTCCATGTTAGCTGGTGGGAGGGTAAATGGAATCTATTGATCAACCCCCCATGTGAGCCTGTCACCCCCCCCAAAAAAAAAACAACGATGACACCATGGGGCACCCCATCCGGACGACCGAAGAAAAAAACCGGCGGCTGCGCAGGCAGCTTTGATGCCCGCGTACGCCTTTTTGACTTGCCCTTTGCCGAGGTCCGGATTTTTTTTCTTCTTCCGGTACTTGAAGCTGTAGGGTGCTCAGTAGATGGTTGTTGTTAGGAAACATTTTACATTTTTGCTCATTGTGGTTTAGTGGGAAATCCTCACTTAACTGCTAAATCTTGTTTTTTTGCTCCCCTTCCAACGCCGACCAAGAGTAAGTGGTTTATAACTTATAACCCTCGACCACGGTTGAAAGTTCCTGAAGTGGCTTATAACAATGTGTACTAACCACTTGCCGTGCACGGGTGTTTCCACGGAAAGGATTGCATTTGAGAAATGGGACCACTTCCCCAACCAGAATCATTCGCCAGTCTTCTCAGTAGATCATCAGTTTGCTCTTTTGCTGAATGCCATGGCAGTTCTTGCTGACTGGTTAAGGCAGACTTAGTCAAATTTACATGGCTGACTGGTTAGCGGTGAAAGGCGGCTCTTTGCTCATCGGCCAGGTTCTTGCAGCGTGAAGGGAGCCCTGTGAAGTTGAACCGATCTCGGGGCTTCCGGAAACTTCGCCAGGTTTGGCGTTCTGGAGTTACAAGGATCCCTGGAAAGAATGGAACAGGTGCCCTTAGAATAGTGATGTTGGAGCAACATGGGGAGCAGATGAACAGAAGAACTCGAAGCCAGCAGTCCCTTCCCGAGAGATGTCCTCAAACAAAGGCAAAAAGAACTAATGGAAGCCACGAACGAACGCAAGCGGCTAGCAACAATCTATTTGCCTCTGGCGATATGGACGGTTTTGTGGAGGAGCCACTTAGGCTCTTGATGTTTCATCTCAGCACTTGGGGGTTGCTTGCTGCCTTTTTGTTTTTGTTTGTTTGCTTGTTTGTTTGTTTGTTTGTTTGTTTGTTTATTTATTTGTTGTTGTTTGTTTGTCGCTGGTTGCTTGCTGGCTTTTTGTTTGTTTGTTTGTGTGTTTTTTTTCTTCTTCTGTTTTTTCTTCTTTTTTCTTTTTGGGGGAGGGGGGGGGGGTGGTGGTGGTGTTTGCGGTCTCCTTCTTGCTTTCTTGCTTGCTTGGTGCGTGCTTGCTTGTTTGCTTGCTTGCTCGCGTCTTTGTTGGATTAGGTCATTGTTTGTTTGGTTGGTTGGTTGGTTTGGCTGGTTGGCTGGTTCGCTAGGTTGGCTGGGCTGGGTTAGGTCGGTTGGTTGGGCGGGTTCCATGTTTGACTTGTTGTGCTTATTGTGCTTTTCTTGATTCATTTTTATCTGTGGTTTCAGTCGTGCTATGTTTGTGTGGCGTATTTGATGTGTTGTTTGTCTGTGCGTCTGTCCGCTTAGTTGTTTGCTAGCTAGCTCTAGCTAGCAAGCTAGCCTCGGCCCTCCAGTAGTGCCCTTCTCTCCCCTTTTTTGGTTGGGAGGGTTTCCCCTACTAAAATAGACAAAACAGAAAAAGTTGGTACCAACTTATTCTAGCCTCTCAAATCTGGAGGACCTAGTAGCTTATTTGCTTGCCCTTCGTTCACTCGTTCGTTCGTTCGGTCGCCCCATCGCCCCATATCGCCAGGTGGACGCCGTTTGGTCAGAAGTCCTGGAGCCAATGGCGTGGCTTCCAAGAGATTTTTTTCGTTCCATGGGGGCAACGGATTTTGCATGGGGACACAAATCCTTGCTCCCATCATGGAGGGGACGAGTTCCAGGGACAACAATCCTTCCATGGGGAGGGGACGGGTGACAAAAACACCTGAAGGCTGGTGTCACCAAAACGCCCCCCCCCCCAAATGTGGGTTTCGGCCTCTTTTTGACATGATTTTACATAAGGTGTATGAAATGCGGACAAGATTCAAGATGGGTCAAAAGCTGAAGATTTGTCTCCCAGTCCCCCGTGCGTTGGGGATGTTTTTTGGGTTTTCCCGAACCCCAATGATACCGAGCTGCAAAGGGGGGCCTTCTTTTTTGTGGGCGGAGCCCCCAACTGACTGGTGAGACTGCTGTTTTTGAGTTATTTTTAACAATCAGCTTCTGGTTCACTTGAAGTTGGGCATCCTTTTGGCAAGCACTGCCTGAAGATCAGACTACTACTGGTACTCTTTTAAACAAGTCCATTGGTTGGTTTGAATTCTAGGTTGTATTTCCTACGGCCGGGTTGATGGTCAGTGAGCATGCGAGCAAGTGAGGACAGTGATGACAGTATCGGTGGTCGATTGTGAGTTTGCGGAGAACATGGCGGGGCCCTCCCAGATTTCCCTCACAACATAGGCGTGCCCATGTTTTCCCCATGTCCTTTAGGGGCAAGGAAACATGCATTTTGCCCGCTGCTTATGTGACTATTGAACTTTGAGACTTCACTAAACGTGTCATCATGCTGTGTGGGCCTGCCGTTTTGACGCATGCAGATTGGTATCTGCAAGCGGTGGCAGCTACAAAGATTGGTTTTTACGCGCGTGCGTGTGTGTGGGTGTGTGTGTGTGTGTTTCGCTTGTGTGTGCGTTTGTGGGTTGAGTTTGTGTTTGTTTGTTTGTTTGTTTGTTTGTTTGTTTGTCTGTTTGTTTGTTTATTTTTTTTGTTTGTGTGTGTGTGTGTTTGTGTTTGTGTGTGTGTGTGTGTGTTTGTGGGTGTTTGGTTGTTTGGGTGTTTCGGAGTTTGGGTGTTTGTGTGCTTGTGTGCTCGTGCGCTTGTGCGTTTGTGCACGTTGTGTGCGTGCGTGCGTGCGTGCGTGCGTGCGTGCGTGCGTGCGTGCGTGCGTGCGTGCGTGCGTGCGTGCGTGCGTGCGTGCGTGCGTGCGTGCGTGCGTGCGTGCGTGCGTGCGTGCGTGCGTGCGTGCGTGCGTGCGTGCGTGCGTGCGTGCGTGCGTGCGTGTGTGTGTGTGTGTGTGTGTGTGTGTGTGTGTGTGTGTGTGTGTGTGTGTGTGTGTGTGTGTGTGTGTGTGTGTGTGTGTGTGTGTGTGTGTGTGTGTGTGTGTGTGTGTGTGTGTCTGTGTGTCTGTGTGTCTGTGTGTCTGTGTGTCTGTGTGTCTGTGTGTCTGTGTGTCTGTGTGTCTGTGTGTCTGTGTGTCTGTGTGTCTGTGTGTCTGTGTGTCTGTGTGTCTGTCTGTCTGTCTGTCTGTCTGTCTGTCTGTCTGTCTGTCTGTCTGTCTGTCTGTCTGTCTGTCTGTCTGTCTGTCTGTCTGTCTGTCTGTCTGTCTGTCTGTCTGTCTGTCTGTCTGTCTGTCTGTCTGTCTGTCTGTCTGTCTGTCTGTCTGTCTGTCTGTCTGTCTGTCTGTCTGTCTGTCTGTCTGTCTGTCTGTCTGTCTGTCTGTCTGTCTGTCTGTCTGTCTGTCTGTCTGTCTGTCTGTCTGTCTGTCTGTCTGTCTGTCTGTCTGTCTGTCTGTCTGTCTGTCTGTCTGTCTGTCTGTCTGTCTGTCTGTCTGTCTGTCTGTCTGTCTGTCTGTCTGTCTGTCTGTCTGTCTGTCTGTCTGTCTGTCTGTCTGTCTGTCTGTCTGTCTGTCTGTCTGTCTGTCTGTCTGTCTGTCTGTCTGTCTGTCTGTCTGTCTGTCTGTCTGTCTGTCTGTCTGTCTGTCTGTCTGTCTGTCTGTCTGTCTGTCTGTCTGTCTGTCTGTCTGTCTGTCTGTCTGTCTGTCTGTCTGTCTGTCTGTCTGTCTGTCTGTCTGTCTGTCTGTCTGTCTGTCTGTCTGTCTGTCTGTCTGTCTGTCTGTCTGTGTCTGTCTGTGTGTCTGTGTGGATTTGGGTTTGTCGTTTACGTTTGCGTTTGTGTTTGTGATTTGGGTTTGCGTTTACGTTTGCGTTTGTGTTTGTGTTTTTGTTTGTGTTTGTGTTTGTGTGCCCCTTCGACAGCAACTGCACCATGCACCTAAGTTTAGGGCCCAGGGCAAGAACACTCATCGCCATGGTCAAAAACCGCATTTACATTGCATTTACTGGGCTTGGCAGTTCCCAGCCGTCCCAAGAGGTTTTTAGGTGCTTAGGGTTTAGTGGGGGTTTCTATTTAACCCACTGAAAGTTGAACCAACAGCCTCGCAACAACGTGGGGTCTGTTTTCTTTTTACCACTCCCAAATCAGGGCCCGTCAGGCGTTGGAAAGCCTGTTTGGTTTGCTGCCGGCCAGTTTGTGAGAGTTCCGGGGATCTCTTCGGAATCGGTAATATTTGGCTTTGGGCACAAGCTGAGGTAGGTTTGTCCGTTGGTTCGGGATGCCAACCTGCAGTGCTTAGCGCATCCAGTTGGTAAGTAGATAGGATTGCGGAAATTCGTTCGCCGCTTGGCGGATTTAGTGCTGACCTGACGGGAAGCCCCTGGTTTAAGGCCCCCTTCGCCTCACAACACTGGCTCACCCCGCGAGGTGACTATTCGAAAGTCCCGACCACAAATAGGTGCGGTCTGCACATATGGCTCTTTACACAGTGTTGGGTAGACTACTTTGATGTTGATTGTGACTCATTGGGCGGTCTGTGCCTGAACAGTGTTCTTCTTCCCACGTTGTGGCATAGGCCCCTTCGTGTCACTCACTTGCGGCAACCTTGTCTTCCTGGGTTGGAAGCCAACTTGTTTTCTACTTGTTTCCAATCAATACAACGTAGCATCCTGAACACAACCTGGCTAGAAAGGTATTGTTGCTCGTTCCAGTATCCAGCTGAGAGCTTTGTACCGATTTTGGCTCCGGCGCGATTTTTTGCCTCGTCCGATTACCACATCCGGTGTCAGCGGTTCACTTTGTGTTTAGCGAAGCAGCATAGGCATACCTCTTGCCCTTGTCCTTGTCGGCACGGTGTACTTTAGGACGACGATGTTAGGAAGGGCCGGTTGTTTCAATCTGCTCTGCTTAGAAAGCAGGCCCGCACAGAGCCGTGAATGGGAAGGTATGCCTGTGAGTCAGGTGAGCCAGGTGAGTCAGTACTACGCATGGATGATTTCTAGACGCTTCATGGATTTGTTGCCATGCAATCTTGTGGACAAACTGATTGGGTCCCCGAGTCCACACGGCTCAGGGTTTAGGATTTGAATGGAAAGATAGACATTCACAGGAAAAAGGTTCACCCGTGAAAACGAAGACTTGCATGTAAAGTTCCACCCACATTTTTGGATGGATCGCACATGTCTGTATTCTGTGGGCCCACGGTGGATGGACAACAGCCTGAGCCGGTTGGTAGTTGGCAGTCCGAGGGGTTTCATCCATCGCAACTGGTCTATAGGAGTTTGCCCATCCATGGTATTGCCGAGGATCGCCTTTCTACCGATTTCGAGAAATGCCCACGCGCTGGCGGCGATCTCAGTGGAACGAGAGCCATTTTCGGGTCGCTTTCATGAAACCAGTGCTCTTTACTAGCTGACGCGAGACTTTTCCATCAGCAACTGACGACGAAATCTGCGCAAGCAGCGCGCAAGTTGCGCGCAAGTATGAGAAGCCCCGGTTCCTCGGATGTCCTTAGCGGTTCAAGCAATGGTTCTCCATCAGCAACATATACTTTTCTTGCCCTGAATACCCTTCGAATGCCTTTGCTTTTTGAATGGCTCGCGCAAACCACGCAAAACTTTGCATGCCGAGGTCACACGAAAACTAGTTTCTGCGCTGCTGCGCGCGTATATATAGGTTCGCAAGTGCCGCGCAAGCGCGGCCCACGGACCCAATCCCGGGCAAAAGAGCATGGGACAACCCCCAATTACAGACTTGCTATGATCAGAGCGCCGCTTTGGGTGTGGTAGGGCTGGTCACGAAACTCTTGCAGGGTTTCAATCATTTGTAAGGGTTTCTAAGGGAACCATGTCTATGATCCACATCGGGACTTGAGGTACACCCGCACCCAACTGCACTACACCTCAGTAGACGAGTCTCATTTCCGGGAGGCCTCGGTTTGCTAGAGTTTGGTCTCGGGGGAGGCCTCTGTCATTTTGGTCTGGGGAGCAACAAGTCTAAACTTTGCACGGCAGTTATGATAGTTATGCCAGGGCAAGATGTTGAAAGGTCCACAGCATGCCAACCCTTTCTGTTTCTTCAGGCGGGATTCTCAGGGGCGTGTTGCGTTTGATTCCCTTTGAGATTTCCCATTGACAAAACAGAACAAGGGTGTTGTCAATCAAAAAGACCATCCACCCCAGGACAGGTGCGGAATGCACTAGGTGTGGTCAACATGTCCGATGACTATAGTCTACTTGAGAGGAACATGCAAAACTCGCTATTCAAACGGGAGACTTACCAACTTCTGCGTCAGCCTTAGCATCTTACATCTTTGCGTCAACTAAGATGATGAGATATTCAAAGCCCAGGTTTAGGGCCGCAGATGTTCACTCGGGTGACTTGAATTGGCTCCGCTCACTATTTGAGGCTGTTCAAACATGCACTGGGGATCTTTGCTCCTTATGCCACATTGGTCTTGTTTTCCCTTGTTTTTAGGGTGCCAACGCAGTTCGATGTACTTGCTTGTCTTCAAGGAAGTGACTCTTCCCATACATGTTTGGGTACAAGGCAAAGCATGTATGGAAAGGGCCGTAGACGTTCTCTTCATTGGAGCTGGATTCAGGCATTGCCAATTGCTGCAAAGTTCCGCTGCAAGCAGAGTCCTAGATTCCTAGATTGGACAAAACATAGGTTGCCACTTTGTAGTGCCATACAAGAAAAAGTGGCGCATACATTTGTCAGCGGTTTTTTGTTAGTGTCACTCTCAGGTGGGACGCCCTGAGGGTCTTGACCTCCAGGCTGGTTTGGGACTTCGTTTGAGTGGAAGGCCTTCACTGTGAGCCGCCGTTGGTGCAACTGAGCCCCTGTTTCCTACATACATAAACAAATAAATAAATACATACATATATACATATATATATATATACATATATACATATACATATTTGGGCAGGGGGTGGTAAAATTAGGCCCGTTCCCTTCGGTTTTTGTGGGTGTCAACATATCGGGGCCCTGGGCTGCCCGTTCAACACCGAACCGAACAATGGCTACGACGCAGCTCATCCCGAGCTTGGGATCGGAGCACCAGCTCCGATGGGTTTCAACCCGAAGAAGTTTTTTTTTGCAACGCCTGGCAAGCTGGATTCCCTAAACAAGTTCTGGGAGAGCGGGATTCAAGGGGCACTAGGCGACCTCTCCCATGATGAAGCTTCGCTTCACTCAGAGGCCAATTTTTGGTGGGTGAATTGTTATGATTCACCCAGCCAGAATGCTAGTCCCCAATCCGCTTTGGGTATCCCTCATCCCAAATCGGCTGTTTTGACGGATGCTGAGTGGGCACCGCAGCAAGTTTGTCCGCGGTTGAGGTTTGTTTGGCATTTGAAGAATTAGGAAGCATTCTGCCGAATCGTAGAGGCACATGATTGATCAACCACGAGGTCCTGAAAATCCAGATTTTGAATTTGCCCTTCAACCCCTTCGGGTTGATCTGGACCTGGCCAGTCCTTTGCTGTCCTTTCCTGTGTGGACCCCTGTTTGGCCAATAGGACCGCAGTAGGATAGTGACAGGAAATGGCATTTGTGATTTTTTCCAGGGCTGGAGAGGGCCAAGATTACTGTACTCAGAGGGGCTTTGTGTTACTCGGGCGGCGGGGGGCTAGCCTTTGAAATGGGGTACCCTCTACGAGCTTGTCAAGCTTTGATTTTTTAAACAAGGTGGAGTAATAAATCAGGTTATCCGGCTAGCCGTTTTCTTGATTTCTGCAATGGCAACCCTTGCGACTGTGAAAGGATCTAGTATTGGCCAAAGCATGGTGAATAGCTTTGTGGCAATTTTCATAACATTTTTTGTTTTTGTATTTTGGATGTTGGGCCGGAAAGGGACGTTTTGAATCTGGGAGGTGTCAATAAGTTATTCAGAGGGGTCTTTTGGCCAAACCTTGTGGGTGCCAGCAAAATAATGTTTGCTGGCAGAGTCGGCCGGAAAAATCGGGAATCTTTACTGCAATCAGAGGAATCATTGCGTTGCGGAGTGCTATATATGTTGAAACGGGCTACCCAAGGGCTTGGCCAGATGTGTTTGGGTACTATGTGTGTATATATATATATATACGTATGGATGTTGCTCAAAATTAAACAGGAGGGGTTACGCAGGGTTTGGTCCATGTTTCCACTTACCAGGGTTCCATTTTGGTACCGGTTTTTTGAGCCACAGCCGCGCCACAGCCGCGCCACAGCCATATATACATATATATATATATGTATTTGTGTCTCTGAGCAATCTTATGTTTGGTTCATGAAGCAACCCCACCTGCATCAATTGGGGCCGATCCAAAATTGTTTGCCGGCCCGGATTTATATAGTGCTCAAGTTCAACCAAATACGGGTAGTCATCATTCTCCAGGCACGATTGGCATATTCGTGCCTTGGTCGAAAAAGCGGTTTGGGACACCTTGTCGGGAATGTAGACAACCACGAGGATTCCTCAAGCAGGGCTTCTTAAAAGATACATTTTGCCCATGTGAAACATGGCTTTTTCCACCGAAATAAAGGGAAACCACCATGTACAAGGCAATGTTCAGGTGTATAATGTAAGGATCCCTGTCAAGGGAGTGATGACCATGGCCCATGGCATCAATGTGTTGAACAAACTTTGGTCTTCGGGGCTAGCGTTGCATTGTGTGTGGGTGCTGGAATATTTCGCTGAAGGGGTGAACTGAACATGCATCGATATCAATTTAGAATATAGGTTGTGTCCCAAGTGAACACTTTGCGCAATCACCTTTGAACGCACGCACAGTTGGAAACAAACACAAAAGGGAGGCAGTACAGCAAGCAAGCAAACAAAGAAACAAGCAAGCAAGCAAGCAAGCAAGCAAGCAAGCAAGCAAGCAAGCAAGCAAGCAAGCAAGCAAGCAAGCAAGCAAGCAAGCAAGCAAGCAAAGCAAGCAAGCAAGCAAGCAAGCAAGCAAGCCAAGCAAAGCAAGCAAGCAAAGCAAGCAAGCAAGCAAGCAAGCAAGCAAGCAAGCAAGCAAGCAAGCAAGCAAGCAAGCAAGCAAGCAAGCAAGCAAGCAAGCAAGCAAGCAAGCAAGCAAGCAAGCAAGCAAGCAAGCAAGCAAGCAAGCAAGCAAGCAAGCAAGCAAGCAAGCAAGCAAGCAAGCAAGCAAGTTGAAATAACGAATCAAAATCACTGTGCCAAACACACAGACCGAAGCAAGCACTGACACCAGTATATAAATTAAAGAACTCACGCGGGGACCTGTTCCAGTGGCCCTCGCTGCCCAGGTGGTCCGGTGACTTGGGCGATACTGCTCTCGCCTTTGACCAGCTCAGCTGGACGGCTCGAGAGGGCTTCGGCGAAGATGTGTTGAACGGCGCCCGAGCCCCTTTAAAGGCAAACCAATATGAAGGGTGTGCTAAATCCTCGGACCCTGGCCTCGGACAAGCAGCATAAAGTTGCTTAACATGATAGTGGCCCGAACTTTTCCTTAAATTTGACCGTTAAACCTCAACCTTTGGTGGCTGCTGAACCACACCGACTGTGCAACTTGGGTCAACAGACAAACATGTCTCAGCTGCTCTTTTTAGTGCAACAAGCAACGCGGATAGTTGCTCAGGAGCAACCTTTTTTGGGTCAAGGTGCCAGACAGTTTGTTCAGGAGCAACCGTTTTATCCCAAGATTGTATGAATCAGGAGACCTTTTGTGATACGTGGGAACCTCCCCTTTAAGCTGTTGGGAAGGCCTAGTGAGACTGTGGATGGACGAAATCCTGCACCAACTAAGAGACCCTGGAGGGATGATTCCTCTATAAATACCAACGAACCATGGTTTTCATGGTTTCCAAGTGGTGCAGGATTTTGTCCATCCACAGTATCACAGTGGGAATGCCCGCATTCCGGTTTGAAGTGCCAAACTTGGTTGCCTGCTGGGTAGCCGCTTTGCCCTGCAGCTCGTTCTTATATCGTACATGTGCTCTACAGATCAAAGAGATGCAGAAATAATTTTGTGAGGCCTGAACATGCCCGAAGCGAATGTGTTAGTTACACTTTGCCCAGATTGCTATGTTACCATTCCTTTGATTTGGGGGCTTGCCAGCCAGTTGAGAGCCGGTCCAACTTTTGCCGCTTTGTAAACAATGTGTCCTTGGCGTGGGCATTTCCCCCTACTTGTTTAGGGCATTTCCCTTATTTTAGTAATGGGACTTGCCAACCGCCAGGGCAGCTACGGAGCGTGGTTCTCTTTCAATTCTCCTGGTCGCAGGCAGTGTGTCAATCCGGCACAGGCAACGGAGACTTGCAAAAAAGGATGAGGTTCATGGATGCACATTATCATAATGGTTCGGTTGCTGTCACTTAAAACGAAAGGCGGAACATGATCACAGTGTTTGCACTTGATGGCCCGCGTGAGGAACTGTCAACATTCATTGTCAGGTACGCGAACCTCAATTGCCATCATACAGTGAGAATCAAGCCCCAAAAAGCAATGTTAATGGGGAGCACCTGATTGTTGAGCGCAGCTCATACGACCCGCCAGAGATGCAGAAAATACCATGAGACCCGGTAAAGCTCGTTTGCACCTCTCGGCATCCTCATTTTAAGCGGCAGTCCCCCTGAGCTTCCAAGCCGCGAACCGTTGATGTCAGCAGGGGTTGTTGCCAAGAAGCGACGGTCCCAAGAAATTTTGGCGAATGATATCCTTCAATATTCCCTCAAAAAACAAAGGGGCATGGAACAATGTCGAATGGTTAGGTTTCCTGATTCCCACACAGACAGGTTTCCGTTTCTTTCTGCAACTCGATTGGGGTGACGGGCAACCGAAGAGGCTCACAGGGCGTGCGTTGTGACCCCCTTTCACCTTTCACTGGAGGGTTTCTACTCTTTGCCCAAAGCCGGGGCGGGATCAAACAGCAGCTTTTGCACCCTCAAAGGGTAGGAACCCAACTCATTCCAGCGGCATAGGCTACCAAAAGTCTGGTCCAAAAGGCACTGGGAATCTATTACCGATTAGCAACTTGGGGGATTGGTGTTCCGGGTGGATTTGAATGTTACCCTATTACCCTGGGGTTCAACCCCCATCAAAAGAATGGTTGACCCAACTTGGGAAAAAAACATTCTTAGGTAAAGCATGGTGGTTATATTGACCCCATTGTGCTTTTTTGTTCTAGCACCACAAACCGACCCTCCCTAAACCATCCCTAAACCCAGCCCAAGCCAAGTCCAAACTTACCCTACTAACTTTAAAGCAACCCTAAACCGAGCCTGGACCAATCTAACTCGACCCTAAACCCACCCTTAACCAACTTTAAACCGTAAACTCAGCCCAAATCAACCCTAAATCCAGAATCCCAACCCTACATTCAGCCTATAGCGCAACCCTAAGCCCACTTAAACCCACCCAAAACTCCTCCGAAACCCACCGTAAGCCAACCCGAAGCCATGCCTAAACCCACCCCAATTTTCAAACCCACCTTAAGCCACCCTCAACCAACTCTAAACCACCCTAGCAGCTTCAAACCAGCCTTCCCCCCAGCCCACCAGAAACTCGGTCTAAACCTAAACCCACCCTAAACCATCAACCTAGAACTCACCCTAGCCCCACCAAAACCTGCTAACCCACCCTAGAGCCATTTTCCTGCTGAGGGCCTAAAGCACTTGCCGTTTGGGGTTGCCACAAGAGAGAGCTGCACGGGTGGCCTTTGCGTCTGTTTGACCCAAGCGCCCAATCAACCCAATGTGGGTGTTAAGCTCATTGCGTCACAGCACTTTGGCCGGCCAAGTTCAGTTCTCCAGCTTTCATTGGGTCCACTTGCGGCCTTGCGACTGAAGACAGTGAACCGGTGGGTCTACCAAGGAATCCAATGAATCCAAGTGCTTTACCGTGTGGAAGCTCGGGGGTGCATGACCACACAAGGATAGAAACTGGACCGGAGCTGCAACTTGGGTCGACGGTCCCGTCGACCCTCCGTGCGCTTGTCATCCAGTTTCGTTGGATCCTACCAGAGTGCATCGTGACACATTAGGCGTGACACATTAGGCTTTCTGCCAATGGAGTCGCGGCAGCACGGCGAAAGGCAATTTGTTTGCCTGTGGAAAGAGCCGACTTGCCAGCAAGTTGTGACATGCTGAACTCGCACCTAGCAATTGCTTCCGAGCTGAGCTGGCGCGGCGTCGAGCGGCATCAAGTCGAGCTGATGTAAGCACGAATGCAGGGATCGGGTTGATTATTCGAGAGCACCACGCGAAAGGTCGCACTTGGACGCCCCTTTTGAATGTTACCCTATTAATTACTGGGGTTCAACCCCCATCAAAGAATGGTTGACCCAATTTGGATGACTAAACTTCTTAGGTAAAACATCGTGGTTAAATATACCTCCATTGCGTTCATTTTGACTTGAACCACTGTGATTTGTTGCTTTTGTTGTTTTCTTGAACCATGAAGTATGCGAAGGCTGAAAAGCCAAGCACCGGAAAATGGGTATATGACGGATATGTCATTGGGTGACCCCGAAATTGGTTGTTTTCCCTTGGTCTCCCTTCAAATCAATGCGACAGGTGTAGCCTTCGAACACACAGCTACACTTGGGGAACAAGAAGGGGCGCGAGTGATATCGTTCGGAATTCCCATTGAGCTTGTGTCATCGGTGAGCTCTTTGGTTCCCTCAGTTTAGGCCCTAAACCGCTGGTCCTCTCCAGTCAGTGCGATCCCGCACGGGTCGGCGGGCAAATGTCTCAGCGCACGACCGAAATTCCGAAACCGCCGCGGAGATGGGAGAGGAGTGGCTTGTTGACCTGTGGGCAACATTGGTTCTTATTCCAAAGTTTACGTCGCCATGGTAAAAAGGGATGGTCGACCCTGTAGCGATGTTGACAGCCATTCAGGTTCGTACTAAAGGAATCGTGACCATGACTCACATAAGGATTTTTGGCCATGGCACATGTATGGTGCAGCGTCCCTAACGCCCATGGTCATAGGTCATACAGAGTCATGCAGGTGGCCCCCCCCCCCCTTGCTGTAGTCCAGTGGTCCTGTGGTTGGGTTCCGGTGTAGCGTTGGTTCAGAACAGGTCTAGGGTTGATTTAGGGTGATCTAAATTCAAGAGTCATGCTTAGGCCTCCATCATGAGTGAGTAACGCCCCTCTACGGCAGGGCCAACGTCACGCATGATGTGCGCGTACAATGCGTGCAGTACGTGTACACGTGTACAGCGCACGTACAGTGCACGCCCATGCGCGTCCAGTGCGCGAACGGCTCGCCTGTGCTACACCGTGCGCGCACACTGTTTTGCAAACGGTGCGCAAAGATATGAGACCTGTGGCGGACCGCTGCCGCGCGCGTGACCGCGCAAGCCGTACGCACATCTCGCCAAGCTGCCGTCAACACCGCTACACTTTTTGATGCCCTGTTAAGGCCGTGATTCTTGAGTTTCGACAAGTTTAGGGTTGGATTGGGCTGGTTTAGGGTTGTACCCCCCACCCCCCACCCCCCGCCCATAGTCCTGTGGTTGGTTTGGGATGGTTAATGGAGGGGGGGTGGTGGGAATAGCGGGACACAGTTATTGGTAGCGCCTTTTTTTGGCTTCCCAAAATTTCCCCAGAAATCAAGGGACCCACCCAGTTTGCCATGTGAGCTACGAATATATTCATATGTCGACCAGAGGTTGTTGATCCGTTGCCATTGAGCTGCAGCCGTTGTTTTTAAAGTCAGTGCCCACAGCTTGAGCCGAGCCATATGCCATCTCGAGAATCACCTGAACTCCACCCACCATCAAAACAAGGGATTGACACGGTTTCCAGTTCAAGCTTTTTTTTGCATTTGTTCCTCAACGTTCCTGCTTTGTCCTTTAAACACAACACAAAAGCAGATGTTCGAAGACTAGGTCCCCCAGTAGTGCCCTTTTACCCGTTTTTGGGGGAGGGTTCCCCTACTAAAATAGACGGTACTGCCCTTATTCTAACCTCTCTACTGGAGGACCTAGAAGAGCAAATGCAGTGTATCATCCCCAGTTTGCTTGACCTGTGCGGCCAAACGTCCGACGGTGGGGGGAGCTTCCGCGCGCGCGCCTGTTGGCCTGTTGCTGCCGAAGCGGTGGCACCAGAGCGAGGGGCGAGCTGCCGACGGGGGACCGCTTTGGGGCAGAGGGGTGTTTCGACTCAACATCTAAAAACTGGGACTTCCATTCAACCTTGATCAGGGGGGGTGTTTTGACTCATTCAATCAAAAGCTGGTTCAACCAAACCCGGGACTTCCATTCAACCTTGATCAGGGGGGGTGTTTTGACTCATTCAATCAAAAGCTGGTTCAACCAAACCCGGGACTTCCATTCAACCTTGATCAGGGGGGGTGTTTTGACTCATTCAATCAAAAGCTGGTTCAACCAAACCCGGGACTTCCATTCAACCTTGATCAGGGGGGGTGTTTTGACTCATTCAATCAAAAGCTGGTTCAACCAAACCCGGGACTTCCATTCAACCTTGATCAGGGGGGGTGTTTTGACTCATTCAATCAAAAGCTGGTTCAACCAAACCCGGGACTTCCATTCAACCTTGATCAGGGGGGGTGTTTTGACTCATTCAATCAAAAGCTGGTTCAACCAAACCCGGGACTTCCATTCAACCTTGATCAGGGGGGGTGTTTTGACTCATTCAATCAAAAGCTGGTTCAACCAAACCCGGGACTTCCATTCAACCTTGATCAGGGGGGGTGTTTTGACTCATTCAATCAAAAGCTGGTTCAACCAAACCCGGGACTTCCATTCAACCTTGATCAGGGGGGGTGTTTTGACTCATTCAATCAAAAGCTGGTTCAACCAAACCCGGGACTTCCATTCAACCTTGATCAGGGGGGGTGTTTTGACTCATTCAATCAAAAGCTGGTTCAACCAAACCCGGGACTTCCATTCAACCTTGATCAGGGGGGGTGTTTTGACTCATTCAATCAAAAGCTGGTTCAACCAAACCCGGGACTTCCATTCGGGGGGGTTGTTTATCGTGACTTCTGGACTACTGCACCATTGAGTGGTATTCCAAGAACCTGCACACTCCCGTAAACTGGGATACTTCTCTCTCTCTCTCTCAATTTCTCTCTCTCTCTCTCTCTCTTTCTTTCTCTTCCTCTTTTTGTTTCTACATTCTCAAGCTCGCAACATGGACCAGTGGCCAGAATCAAGCATATGTGTTTTGCTTGGAAGCAAAAGCTGACGTAGCGTCGGAGATTTCATTGCATCGGTTTCGGTTCCCTTTGCCGGCAAAGGATCTTTGGAGTAACCTTGTTGACCTAGCCCAACAATTGAGCGCCTTTGACCCTTTGAGATCTTGGGAGCATGGCAACTCTTGGGGATTTTGTAAGGCAGACTATTGACCCAGCCATTTCGTTGGGAACACTTGTGGGACGACCTTAGCTTGTATCGAAGCAGGAAACTACCAGGACGGGTTTGAAGGGGAACACCGAAATCATCCCGGGCATAAGCTGTAATTTGGATAAACACCGGACAGACCGAAGTTGAAAGCCGAGTGGCGACGGTTCCCTAATTCAATGCAAACACAAGAGACATCCACAGAACGTCAAGATCATATGAATTTGGGGGGGGGGGGTGTAATCAAGAAGCACAGTACTTTTTTCGTAGTACAAACATGGGCTTGGGGAATTTTATTGATACGAGGTGTTTATTCATGCCCAAACCTGGCCTCGTTATTTTACCATGATCAAAGTCACCCCCTAAGTGGTGGATTAAAGAGAAACAACCACATGTTCTGACTTTGATAACCCCCAGAAACCGTCAAAAGAATGACCCCGGCAAACCTGCAGGCTGAACAATTCCTTTTAGTCGTGCGTCCTCCTCCGTCAGAAGGTAGCCGAGGCAGACTTCGATAGCTGCGCGCCTGCCGCGTTGAAAGAGGCGGGGTAAACCGGGAGATAACTTCAGGTCAGGTGGTTTTTTGGCGTCCTTCATGTTCTTGTTTGTGTTTGTTTTTTGGCGGTGGGAGGGTGGGAGGGGGGGGGGGGGGTGGGTGGGGGTGGGTGGGCGGGGGGGGATTTAAACATCATTTGTTTGGCCATGTCAATGGGGACATGGGAGGACCCCCCCACCCCATTTGGGAAATCTTGAATGTCTCAATAGGATGGGACCCTCTTTCATGTTTTGTACATTAAGCATTGAAATTAAGCAACCCAAGAAGAACAAACAATTAAAGAAGAACAACTAGCAGCCTCCAACAAGCGTACCCTGATGGGTTGTGAAACGTTTGACAGAGGAAGCCACTTCAATATTCGGATTCCGCCCCGTCCAAATCCTATCGGAGGATCATGCTGGTTGCTTCGGGATCTCATTATGCCTTCGTGGGCTGGGGGGAACCACTCGAGTTGAAGTCAGGTGTTTCGGAGGCTGAGCTTCATTCCTCTAAGTGGGCAGGACCTCTGGAAAACTTGCGCTTGACCGGAGGGGTTGACATTTCAAGCTTTGTTTGAAGTGATTGGGTCGAGTGGAGTTCATTGGTTCTCTCAGCTTATCCAGTAATTGTTCATTGTCCATTTGGGAGCGACATGGGACTCACCGAATTGCAACCCACCACAATGAGAAGGCTTTTGGAACCCGTCCAAGAACTTCCAAGAAAGTTCTACAAAGCTTCCTCGTCAAGTTACTAAAATGATTACCGACTCTAAGTTCCTTTTTCTCTTGCGGGTTGAGTATGATTATCTGCCCTAAAAAGAGATGGTTCCGTTTCCTATCGAACAGGCTGCGCAGGCTTGATACGGTCTTTTGGATCGCGCTGCCGTTCTGCGCCTCGCGCCCTCGCGCCTCGCTCCGCTCTTTCTGCTCAAGTTCTATCTCAGGCTCTACGTCTTCACGAAGCGCTTCTGCGCTTCAAAAGCGTTTCCCGGAACAAAGCAACAACGAAACTTCGCTTGCAGAAGAGGACCGCGGCTTTGAAGTGCGCGATGAAGGAGTTTTCGAATAGTTTGGTATCCTCTCGGACTGGAAGGTTTCCCGTTAGTTTCCCTGCCATATCATGTGGAATTCGCCAACGACGATTGCGGGGTACCCTTTCTCGGTGCTTCAACAGAAACTTTGGGTTTCAATCCCAGAGTCAACAGGCTAGCCAGATAGCAGGGAGGAGACAAGAAGCCATGGACGGCCATTTTCCGCAATTTCCAAGGAGCAGACAAGAAAGTATTCATGTGCAAGCTGCAAGCCTCAATTATTCCCGTATGGATTTGTCTCAAAATAGGGCCCCTCCAAGTCGGCTGATTTCCTCTTGTTCCCCTTTGCAACTTTAAAGCCACCCCAGAAAGGGTACCCTCAAAATCATTACATATATAGATATATCTTTACACATCTTCACACACACACACACTTGGACGACCTGCTACGCTTTTCTCACCTGATCCACTCGTGCACTGTCCGTCCTGAGAGGACGGACTTTCGGAACTGTGGGAGTGGTGAGCTCATGCATGCCTTTTCCGCTTGCTTTGGACAGGGTTCGCTACATTTCCCTGTTTGGTTGCTTCACCTGGCCCAACTTCAATGGAGTTTTCTTTTGTGGAAGTCCTGTTGGTTCCCTTTGGAAACCGGCGGAAGGAGGTCACGCAACGTGATCACATTCCCACTGACGCGTTCCGGGCTCGCAGCGTGGTTCCTTTTTGCCCCCACGGAGTGTTGGGTGAAGGCCTTCTGTCAATCGCAGGGCGGGAAATCTGAAGTCGATGGATTGAAGGAATGCTCCAGCAACCAGTGGCCAAATTGATTTGATCAAGAGTCCAGGTCCAAGGTCCTGTTTCATAGTCTGATTCTTAGTTTACTCGGGAACCACAACGGTGAGCCGAAAAGGGGATGCACACACACACACATTGTCCTTTGGTGCAAGCAAGCTGGAGCCTGTTTAGAACCGTTGAACGCGTTCCTCAAAGTAAGTCCTTTGTACAAGGTCCGTTTGGGGGAACAAGCCCTACGGCCCTAGCCTACGGCCTTAAGGGGATGGTGTGTCCGTTGCCCGGCTTGGGTTGCCATCGGTGAACCCATAGAGTTCGGTACTTAGGGGAAACCTTCAAACCTGGTTCATATACTCATTTCTTCATTTCTAGATGGTTCACCTTCATGTAAAACCTAGTTTCCCACCCATAGAGTTCGGTGAACCTTGGAGGTGAGGAGCTCTGGCTCCCAGAGCCGGACCTCGAAATCGGACCTTCTGGTTTCCGTAAAAACAAAACGCGACCCAAAGGAGCGCCAGGGACTCGGGGCTTGGGACTCGAGAAAAGGGGTTTTTGTTGGCGCCCAAAGGACGCCCAGATCTTCGCATTTTGCCGTTGGGGATGTTAGGACGTTAGAGCGTTTTTTGCCAACCAAGGGGTTTTCCGTATGAAACCACTAGAAGTTAAAAACTTTCGGTAGGGGAGCAGAAAGCAACCAAGATATGGCATCGCATTTGGGAAGTTTAAAAGGAATTCACAGGGAGAAGGCGGTTCATTGGCTACAACCCCAAAACAACGGGGCGCCACCCAAAAAGCTGTGTGCTTGATTTCCCCAACAGGGAGCCCGTGAGTTTAACGCCACCTTGGGTTAATCAACAAATGAGCCACGTGCTCAAAACCCGGGTAGATGATCCGGTTAGTAAGGGGCAGTCCCAGCCAGAAATAGTTGCGGATATCCGCCTTATGGTTCTGGGTAGACCATTTTAATACCAGGTTTTGATTGTGACTCAAATGAGCCGCGTCAATGTTTCAGTCGAGGGGACATGGGAAGAACCCCCTCTTCAACATCCCAAACAGGAAATGGGGCTTACTCAGCGAAATCCAACATGACATTGGGGACACCGTAAATCATGACCGTGGCTCAGACCGGTAGAAATTTCTCGATTGAGTAAAACTTGGAGGAGATTCTGGACATTCACGTCCAGCATTTGGAGGGTGCTCCTCGACAAGCCTCCAGTTGTGGCACCCACGACATCTTTTTCTTTTCTTTTTTCTCTCTAGACGCACTCTAAAACCCATGGGGCCCGGTTCCCTCGACATCCTTTTCTTTTGGTCTTGACTTTTTTTTTCCCTCCAGACGCACTCGAAAAAACCCAACGGGGCATTTTTTGGCTGGTTCCAAGGCCTGGCCGCCTACCCTCGGAAAACACGAGGAGATGCTGCCGCCCAAGGTGGAGCACTTTGTGAACCCGCGGGATGCCTGGTGCGCCTGGGGCATCTGGTGGGCCCTGCTGGCCTTGTACCTGGTGCCGCGACCGAAAGAAAAAATCGGAGCTTGGAAAGGAGGGGTGAGGGATGCGGGAGAACTGCAGATTTTTTGGGGTTCGGGGTTGGAGTTTTGAGAATTCAGGGTTTGGAGTTTGGCATGGTGCCTCGACGCCTGAGGAGAACCATGGCAACGGTCAACATGAACTTGGCACCTTCGCTTTTTGGTTATAGTAACAAACGGGTAGCACAAGGACCCCAACTTGTGGCCCGCCCATTTCCTGGGACTGTAGCAACTCAGAACATGAGCAAAATTCGCAAATCGCGGCCTTCATGCAACACAGAGAAAAATGCGCTGTAAGTCCCCACGTTGTTTCGAAGCATGGTCACAGCCAGGTCTATTTGCAAAGGGTCGCCGTGCAACTAGCCTTGGCCTGAACCGGCCTGGAAAGTGGTCCACTTCTGCTCCAACCTCCATTCAGGTCATAAACGCAAGGCCCCTCATGAATGGGCAATGGGCCGCGAGCTTCTCTCAAACCTGTTTTCGCGCCCTATTTTCCGCACGAGAGGGCCAAAAGGAATGCCTGCCTTCAAGTGGTGCAAGATCAAACACGCTCATTGGAAACATGAATTATCAAGCTGTCATTGCCCTTCTACCAAAATATAACGTGCCCTCCTGGGGCAAGCGATCATTGGCCTAGGAGTAAACCGAGCTCGCCCACGATTAAGCCCCTCACATGGTTGTTGTTGGGAAGCATTCTACATGTTTACTTATTGTGGTTTAGTGGGAAATCCCACCTTAGCTGCTAAATTATTATTTTTGCTCCCCTTCCAACGTCGACCAAGCTCAACTAGGGCTTCTCTTATCTGCGGTTTGGGAACTATTTCCTGCTTTGGTCAGATGTGTTGAGGTGTGCGTGCGTGCATGTGTGTGGCGGCGTGTCCTGTCTCTGTCTGTCCGTGTGTCTGTGGGTTTGCCAGGTCCTGCTTCTACGGGTGTTGAATGGGTCTCGTAATTATCTTGTTTGCGCTGTTGTTTGGTGCCGGTTCTGGCTGCTTGCAGTTTCAATCATTTAGTTTGGTACCGGTTCTGGCTGCTGGCTGCTTGCGGTTTCAAGCACGTAGTGCACCCCCCCCCCCCCCACACCCTAGATTCTGGGAAGAAGGGGATCGTGCTTCCACGGTCAGCTGAAGAAAACGCAGCGGTGTAGATTAGAGTAGGAATGGGAGATTGTAAAGGGTGTCGTTGGCTCCATGAGCCACTGTCACTGCCTTTTGGGCATCCAGCAACTCTTGAGGGCCGAAGTTTTTTCCCCAGCAGCTGAAAGCTTTGGGGTCTCAGCCCAGATAGGCTCCAGGGTGGTCCGGGGCGGCCCTGACGCAAGGTTCCACCAGGGTTGCACCAGGGTTCCACCAGGGTTCCACGAGGTTCTGCGAGGGCTGCGGGGTGGTGCGAGCACTAAAAAGAGCACTGCGTGCTGTTGGGGATATCACCTGAGCTTTTTTTTTCCCCGGCCCGTTGAGGATCCAGGCAAACTTTTTAGGGACACAAGATGATTCACAAACATGCGAATTGATGTCGAGACCCATTTGTTTTGAAAGGGAATCCGCATCACTTTCCGGGCTGATGGGAATCCGGATCACTTTTCGGGTTGATTCCGGGGTTGACTTTGAAGGGGGTTAGCCTGTGTTCAATGTGCAATTCCCGTTGCGGGCGTGTAGTCCGATTTGCTGACGAAGCGGTTGGCTCGTGATGTTCTGTGATTCTCAGTGCTTCCACTTACTGCTATATATTAGGCAAGAAGCTATTTTTACAATTTCCCCGGGCTCGAACTGGAAGCACCGGGTTTCGAGGTGTATGCAGCCTTCAGCACAGCAAACCTTCTCGAGGACCCGGTTGCACCTTGCGCACTTGGGCACAAGTTTAACTGATGTTTCGCAATTCACGCTGGTTGGTATATTCATGTGCCGTGCTTGAAAAGGGCCGTAGGTGTCCTTGCTGCTAGAAGCTGGACAAAAAGTTTGAGGCTGAGCCACGCGCTGAAGATTCTGGACGTGTCGGATTTGTGTCTGGTTGGCTTGTGTTGTTAAGTTTCCACCTGCGACCAGTCCCTTCCTGGCACAGCGGATTGGAGCAATGCGGGTCAGTTTGCTTTTCCTGTCTTGAAGCCTGTGAATCAAGGCAATCCCTCACGTGAATCGCGGCCCTGCTTTCTGCCAGAACAGCTTTGCTTTCTTCGAGGTCAAAAGGGAGCAACAATGCATTCCTGTGTACAATCGTTTGCAGTTGGGTTGGGGTGTGTCGCTTTCAGACAATTTTCTTATTTCTTCCGGGTTCATCTATTCATGTCTGGCTTCGAAAACGGGCGTTGGAATACCTTAGGCACCGACCGCACGCAGGAGCTCAAGACGTGCGAGAAGGTGGAGACTGAGGAGAAGATCATGCCGCTCGGCTGAATATGCCCAAAGCTCTGGCTCGACTGGTAGAATTGTGGGTGGTAATTGACACGCTCTTTTGACTGCCTAATGTCAGGTGATGTCCTGACATCAAGAGACCAGCCAGTGCCCTCAGTGCCCTCGTCGTTCGGAATCTTTTTGAGGCGGTCAGTTTGATGGTTGACACGTGACTTTCTCGTGCCTTGGGTCTTTCAGCTTCGGTTTCCTGTCCCTTCCAAGTAGGGAAGTCCTTGTTGGATGACCAAACCACCTTGGGTCCCCCTTTTCAAAGCGATATCATTCTTAGGCCAGGGGATGGTCGGCGGTGTCTTCTTCTCGGCCTCATGGCTGTCTTGTACGCGGAGATATATGAGGTCCATTGAATGCAACGCTCACGGCGGCCTTCGACGAGATTTCGTGGCTATCTTCCATGCTGACAAAAGTTTTACCATCGTTTTGTTTTCTACCATAGTTTTTGTACCATATCTTTCCATCGTCCTTTTGCCATAGTTGTTTCTTTCTTTTTTTTCTGACAAACGTTTGGCAACTTTCGGGCCTTTAAGCGAAGGTTGTCATGCCCTTGTTTGGCCAGCCTTGCGCCCCTGTACTGATCAACCTCCAGCCGGCAGTCGGGGTCGCAATGAATATTGACTTGAGGGGCCACACACTCCCCGCAAGCCGCAAGCCACCGACCCCTCCATTTGTTTGGGGCATTTACAAGAGAGTACCCTCGGCACGAAAGCGAACTCATCCGATTCGCGTAGAGGAATTGCATTCTTCAGGGTGCCAGGGCTCCGCGTTCACTTTTTAGCATCAGTTTGGTTGGCAGTTGGGATCTAATGGTGCCCCATGCAAGAGGGAAGCCTTCACTTTCTGCATCCCAATCCGGGGTCAACAGCGATGTTCGTTCGAACCGAGGCCCCTTCCTCATCCCTCCTTCGACGTGTGTGAGACCTCCTCCCTCAGCAAGGCGCCGAGAACCTCGTGGCGGTTTTGGCAATGGACAGGAACATAATGCTGACCCCGGATTAATAAACCCCAGTTTATTCATATCGGGGTGTCCCTGGCTTGTAGTGGGAATCATCACTTTTGGAGGGAACACCCCCATATTGATAAACTGGGGTTTAGTAATCCGGGGTCAACATTATGACGTTTGCTTGTTGCAAAAGCCCAGCAAGCACACTTAGGTTTCCACATAGCTAGCAGTTGGTGGTCACCAGTTTTGTGACAACTTGTCAACCTTTCAACAGGCGGGCAGCTCCGGGTTCATCCTGTTTCAGCCACGAAAATTAAGCCTGCAAGACACGAACAGCTTTCGTTTCAACCAGTTTCGGCAAACTGC